TTATTGCTCTGGCTAGAACTTCCAGGACTGTTGAATAAGAGTGGTGAGAGCAAGTATCTTAGCTTTGACCTTGATCTTACAGAGGAAGCGTTCTATATTTCACCATTAGCTATAGGTTTTTCTACAGATGTTCTTCATAAAGTTGAGGAAGTTCCTCTATATTCTTATATTTCTGAGAATTTTAATTATGAATGGGTGTCAAATTTTGTCAAATGCCTTTTCTACATTGATTGATATGATCCTGTGATTTTCCTTCTTTCACCTGTTAATGTAATAATTATACTGATTGAATTTTAAATATTGAAACAGCCTTGCATCCTTGAATAAACCCCAGGTAGTCATGGGGTTTACTTACCTTATTTGAAGTAAGATTTACCAATGTAATTTAGAAATCATGGGGTCTTACTCAAACCGAATTGGCTCATTGGAGGCCAAAATAAACGCAAAGGAACAACAACATCAGAAAGCTGAACGTGCAATCTCTTGATTGTTATTATCTGTAATAGCTAAATTACAGGGATAGTGTTGGGGCAGAACTTGAGGCTGGACCAAGCTTGAATTCTAGCCATTGAGCCACAGCTGCTAGCCTCAGGGCCACCTACAAAGGGAAAAGTTATGCTAAAACAACAGAGAGCAGACTTACTCCAAGAGACTAAGGCAAGAGAAAAGGGAGAGAGAATGGATAGACATTTTAAAACAGTTATTAGGAAATATAAATAAAGTGGGCCTTGGTAGTATTGAAACAAAAGTCTTAATGCAGCACTCTCAGAAGTTGGATGGACTGATGGGAACCCTTACAAGTCAGTCCCCCAACATTGAAGACTGCTAAACAAATCCACTTTATTCAACCTAGTTTGGATAAATTGTAAAAGCTGCAAAGCAAAGATGACCGTGAGAAACATGACTTCCAGTCACCTGGGGTGAAGAAACACAATGTAGTCAAGAACTGAAGAAAGGCCAGGCAGGTGGCTCACACCTGTAATCCCAGCACTTTGGGAGGCTGAGGTGGGCAGATCACCAGAGGTCCGGAGTTCAAGACCAGCCTGACCAACATGATGAAACCTCATCCCTACTAAAAGACAAAAATTAGCCAGGCATGATGGTGCATGCCTATAATCCCAGCTACTCGGGAGGCTGAGACAGGAGAATTGCTTCAACCAGGAGGTGGGGGTTGCAATGAACCAAGATCATGCCACAGCACTCCAGCCTGGGCAACAGAGCAAGACACCATCACACACACACATACACACACACACACACACACACCCTGAAGAAAGAACCTAGGTCCACTGGCCCAATTTCTGGTTGGGGGCCCAAGACCAAATGTACGTGAATGGGTAGTCATGGGTGGAAAAGAAACATTTCTTTTTTTTTTTTTTTGAGACAGAGCTTTGATCTGTTGCCAGGTTGGAGTGCAGAGGCATGATCTCGGCTCACTGCAATCTCTTCCTTCTGGGTTCAAGCGATTTTCCTGCCTCAGCCTCCCAAGTAGCTGGGACTATAGGTGCACACTACCATACATGGCTAATTTTTTTTTTTTTTTTTTTGTATTTTTAGTAGAAAAAGAGTTTTACCATGTTGGCCAAGATGGTCTCCATCTCCTGACCTCATGATCTGCCTGCCTTGGCCTCCCAAAGTGCTGGGATTACAGGCATGAGCCACTAAGCCCAGCTGAAAAAAAAATTTCTAAAATTCTTTGACATGGGAGCCCCATGCATTGTTTTTCTTTTAGTGAAATTCTAACCAAGGTGACAGACTGGAAAGATATGAAAATACATTTGATAGGATTAAAGTGAAAGTCTAGATGAAAACTGGAATGTCTGAACAGATTCTGTTTGGAGTTGTTGCATCCCCTTTACATGAATGTACTATGAGGAAAATCTCCCTTACCTAGTAATGCAAAACACAAGACAGGTGAATCTGCCCTGACCATATTGATTGGACATGCTAAATGGGAACCAGTAAGATTGCTGAGCCCAAGCAAGTTGTTAATGTTAAAATCTACAAGTTACTTGGTGGACAAAACACGTTAAAAAGACAGTCTGGTACCTGAAAGGGTAAAGGCCACTTCTGTTTTTGGAAGCTGACAGCGTCAAATGGGAACCTGCAAGCCTGAGTGCCATTGCTCTGAGAGACACTTTGGTCATACAGTAATGATGTTGAACTGGACCAGCTGTTGATGGCAGAGTGGAACTCTTGTACCTATCTGCCATTATCTTTTGACTCTAATTTTTCAAGTTATGTTTACTACCATATCATAATACAGTCTAACTCTGGGATTATACGTGAGACTATAGTACTCACATAGATGGCCACATGTATTGAGAAACTGAGTTAAAAGCCTCCTACTCTACACTGGCTCCTCCAAATGTCAGACATATGTTCATTTTACTGTAAGAAAGCTTTCGCCAAAAGCCACTTGGTGGCCATGTTGTAAAGGATTCAATCTTGCCCAAAGAGAAGGTTTGACGTTTTTCCCTTGGCTTCTGGAAGGTTATCTATATCATACCTAATAGGAGTATCTTTGTTCAGATGAGGACTGGCCAAACTGGATTTTAGGGTGGGGACTGGCCATTCCAGAAAGACCAAACCTGAATTAGGTAGGGGTTTTGTCATACACTATCAGTCTAGTAGAGTATCAGTTCAACCAAGTGGATGACTGATCAAGCCTATCTGGTCGAGTCCCAATAAAAACTGTGGACACAGCTCAGGCAAGCTTCCCTGGTTGGCAATACTCCAAGCATACTGTCACATACCAGTGCTGGGAAGGTAACTCAGCCTGACTGTGGGAAGTGACAACAGGAGCTTTGCATTTGGAGCCCTCCAGACTCTGCCTTAGCCATTGCTTTCCTTGGCTGATTTTGATCTGTATCCTTTCCACATAATAAAACCATAGCTATGAGCATAATGGCTTTCAGTGAGTTCTGTGAGTCCTCCCAATGAATTATCAAACCTGAGGGGGTTTGGGAACCTCTAAACTTATATTGATATCAGAAGTCTTGGACACTATGCCCTCAAATCTTGCAGTTTGGCTAACTCTGCCGTAAGTCAAGAAAAAAAGAAAAAGAAAACCTTTTTTTTCTCCTCCTTAGCTCCCTAGTTTTTCTAGAAACAACAACAAAAGTCAAAAGTAAGCAAACAAAAATATGTGCCTCTATGCAATTAAAATCACAATATGACTTCACACCAACTACAAAAGCTATAATCAGAAAGATGGATGCTAACAAGTGTAGTGAAGATGTGGAGAAATTGGAACCCACATACACTGCTGGTGGGAACACAAAATGTAGTCACTTTGGAAAACATTCTGGCAACTCCTAAAATAGTTAGAGTTGCCGTAAGAGGTAGCAATTCCCCTCCTAGGTATATACCCAAGAGAAATGAAACATATGCCCACAGAAAAACCTGTAAATGAATATTTACAGTTAGCGTAATTCTAATAGTCAAAAAGTAGAAACAACCTAAATCCTCCTCAGTTGATGAATGGAAAATTAAAATGTGGTATATCCATACCATAGGATATTTGTTAGTAAAAAGAAATGAAAGATTAACATGTAGTACTTCATATCATGGATGAACCTTGAAAACATTACAGTAAGTGAAAGATAAAATGCAAAAGGCTACATATTGTATGATTCCATTTTTGTGAAATATCCAGAATAGGCAAATTTATAGAGACAGAAAGATAAGGGATTGCTTAGGCTTGGGCGGGGTTTGGGAGGAAATGGAGCGTGACTGCTAATGAGTATAGAATTTGGGGGGATTGTGACAAAAATGTCCTAAAATTTATGGTGGTGGTGGTGGGTCCACAACTGTATGTTAAAAACAATTTATTACGAGCTTTATTTTTTTATTTTTTTGAGATGGAGCCTTGCTCTGCCGCCCGGGCTGGAGTACAGTGGCGCGATCTCACTGCAACCTCTGTCTCCCGGGTTCAAGCGATTCTCCTGCCTCAGCCTCCCTAGTAGCTGGGATTACAAGCCCCCGCCAACATGCCCAGCTAATTTTTGCATTTTTAGTAGAGATGGGGTTTCACCATGTTGGTTAGGCTGGTCTCAAAGTCCTGATCTCAAGTGATCCGCCTTCCTCGGCCTCCCAAAGGGCGGGGATTACAGGCGTGAGCCACCGCGCCCGGCCTATTATGCATTTTAAGTCGGGAATTGAATGGTATAGTATGCTACAGAGACCTTAATAGAGCTGGGTTCTTTGCGTTGGTTGGTTTGTTTTGAACTTGCTTGGTAAAGATGAACTCCGAACTCAATGAAATTGAATTACCTTGGTGATTTCTCGGAACTCCCAGTTAAGGCTTTCCGGGCCTCTGAAAAGCGAAAGTGGGCTGTGACTCTTCTAAGAACGCCAAGAAAATATGGAATGGATCCCGGGATTTCAGAGCGAAGACGCGGGGCTCCCGGGCTGAGCCGGCTCCAGGGAGCCGTTATCCGCCCTTTCGGATGCTCAGGGGCCTCCGAGCGTCCCGGCGGGCTGTCCCTAGCCGCCGGTGAAACTCCAGGGAGGAGCGCTCGTCACGCCCCCATTGGAGGCAGTAGGAGGCCCTGGCCGGCCTGGAAACCCGCTCTGCGGGGTCCTAAGAAGCCACTCGAGCACCCGAGGAGCAAGTCTTCGCTGCCCTGCCCCGCGCGCTCGCAGGTGGCGCTGCCCGGAACTCTGGTGCTCGCGGCGCTCAGGGAGCGGAGGACTGGTTTCCGCGTGGGAGACTACGGACTGTGGGCCCCGCCCCGAGGCGGGGCGGGGGGAGTGGGAGACACCCGGGGACCCCACCCGAGAAGAGATTCCGGTGGCGGTGGCGGCGGCGCCCCCTGGAAGCACCGCCCCGCCTGGGTGGTGCCAGCGCCGGCTCCTCCTCTTCCCCTCCGCCGCGGCCCGCCCTGGTCCGCGAACCCAAACACTCGGCGCCAGCCACTCGCCCGCCGCGCGTGATCCTCGCCCCGCCGCCGCCGCCCAGCGCTGCGCGCCCCGCCTGGCGGCCCCCGCCCGGCAGCTCCGGGCATCGGCCCCGCGGAGCGATGCTGCTGCTGGCAGCCGCTTTCCTCGTGGCCTTCGTGCTGCTGCTCTACATGGTGTCTCCGCTCATCAGCCCCAAGCCCCTCGGTCTGCCCGGCGCGCATGTGGTGGTGAGTGGCCTCCTGTTGCTGCACCCCGACCTCCCTGCCCGCGAGGCCTTTCCGCCGCCGAGGCCGCGCCGCCGACGCCCCTGTCTCCAGGCCGCGGTCCCCGCAAGGCACGGCCGGATGGGGAAGGTCACCTGCCAGCGTCCACCCCGGCGCTCTGCCCCCGGCCGGGCACTCGGCCTCCCGGACCAGCCCTCTGCTGCCTCGGGCTCCTCCCGGGGCCAGAGAGCGCACGACTGGGGACAGCGGCAGCTGCAGGGTTCCCGGGGCCCCGGGGTGCGGTGTCTGCTCCTGAATCTGCGGAACATCCCTGGGATGTGGATGTTTTTCCGATGAGTAAACTGAGGTACAGAGGGGCTGAGAAACTTTGCCAGGGACACAGCGGTCGGTGGTGCGCGGTGTGCGGCGCGAGGCCACGGGCTGGGGCAGACAGCGGGGAAGCGGGGTCCCCGCCGCCGGGACCCGCCGAGGCAGCTCCGAACTGGAAGATGGCCTGTGCGAGTGAAGGGAAGAGCTGCTGCCAGAGGATTCCAGGAAGTGACTCACCTGGGGAAACCTCTCTGAACCCACCGTGCTGGCGGTGGTGGCTTAGCGGTATTGGGACGCCTGTCCCGTCTACACTGCTTGTCTCTGAGCTCTCTGAGGGTGGCATCTGCTGGTGGCTGCTCCAATGCAATCCTTTGCCGTTTCCTAGGAGAAAGGATGAGCTAAACGACGGGGCTAGTGTTCGAGGGATGAAGGAGGTGGATGGGTGTGATTCGTTTCTTGCCGGCAGCTCGTGTCTTCAGCGATCCCGGTTCTGCAAGTGTGGCACATTTCTTGAACAGAGATGCTTCCTTGCCTGCGCCGACCACTTTCCCGTTTGCAGTGGCTTTCTTACCAGCTTTCTTGTTTGGATCTCCCAACCCCGAGGCACAGTGAGGCAGGGAGTTAGAAATAAGGAGGGTTGGTTATAAAGCTGGCAGCACACATCTTCCTGTCCTAGCTCTGCCTCGGAGATCCGAGCCTCCCCGCTGAGCTGGTATAAGATAAGATAGTCATTTCTTTTATTGTGCTTTAAATCTGAACGAGGTTTTATGAATGAGAAAATATATTCTCTTTAATTTCTCCTTTTTAAAACTATTAGTTTTTTAAACCTTCTTTCCCCATTAGAAACACCTCCTGTTTCTAATGGGGAAAGAAGGTGAGGAGCTAAGTTGTAGGCTCATTACAAAAATAAATAAGGAGAAGGAGAGGCAAAAGTTTACACGTTAAATTCTGAACGTTTTACATCCACAAGAGAACTGGTGCCTCAAAAGCATGGCTTCAAACGTTGGCTCCTTTCAGAGCTTGTGTTTATGGAGCAAAACTTTGCACAAAGTAAAGCCAAACGCAGAATGAAAATTCAAACTCCTTATTTATAAGACAGTTTCACTGAACCTTGACTCTAGACCTTCCAGCCCCATCCCTCGGCAAGTCATAGATCAGATAATAAATGCTGTTGTCGGTTGAGGTAGACCAAGAAGAATTTCTTATTTTTACCATCCTGCTTTAATACACAGGATTATTATTTCACACTTTAAATAGTGTGAGAATGACACGAATAATTCACATCGTGTCACCATCTGTCTTTTTAATGTCATAGGAGAGTGAAAAGTGTAATTATTGTTCTTGAGATTTGTTAGGAGTTGACTGGGTGGTATTGGAGAGGGAGTTGATAGACTGTCTGCCTGTACAGGTTTGTGAACAAACTTAGAACTGTTTATTGTTCTATTTTTAGAACAATTTTATATCCCGGTGTTATCTATCTAGTTACAGTAGTAAAATTGTAGCAAGTCTCACAGGGCATATACCTGTTTAAATCTTCCCCTTTTTGGAAGTGACTGGCAGCAAACCATTGTTGCCGGAAATAATAGTTATATGGTGATAGTAACATTTAAACAATATTTGCAGTGAATAGTAACAGGGAATAATAAAAGACATTCAACTGTTACCTTTTTTTTTTTTCTGAGATGGAGTTTCGCTCTTGTTGCCCAGGCTGCAGTGCAGTGGCACAATCTCGGCTCACTGCAACCTCCGCCTCCCAGGTTCAAGTGGTTCTCCTGCCTAAGCCTCCCGAGTAGCTGGGATTACAGGCGTGCACTGCACCACCATCCCTGGCTAATTTTGTATTTTTAGTAGAGATAGGGTTTCTCCATGTTGGTCTGGCCAGTCACGAACTCCCAAACTCAGGTGATCTTCCTGCCTCTGCCTCTCAAAGTGCTGGGATTACAGGCATGAGCCACCGTGTCCAGCCTCAACTGTTATCTTTAGTGTCCTGGATCTAGGCATGATTTAGCAGTTTTCAGGCAACTCAATAGACATTTACAGTTTTTTTCAGTCATTTTGAAAATCCCTCATATTTTCTTACAATATTCAGAATAATGTAGCCCAATTGATGCAAGTATATTCTTAGATACCATCTTAGAATTAACCGCCTTGACTAGAAGGTAAGTTTCCCATGAACCATGACCCAGAAGCAGAAATCAGACTCTTGTTATGGATAGATCTTACAGTTGGTCGGGTTTAAACCTTGTTTTTCGCTTTGCGGTAAATTTACACAGCTAGCTTACCTATATACAGTCTAGAAAAAGGACAGCAATGGTAAAAATAGCTAATATCAACATAACACTTCAGAGTATATGCATTTTCTCAGTAACCTCATAACTTCCACTTCCGTTAATTCATTGGATAATAAGTAGGGAAATTTTATTTGTATATTTTTTGCATCACACTTTTCAGAGAAATGGCGTCATACTCCATTTTACAAATTAACATAGGCAAGTATTTATTTAGCAAGTGCTTATACAAGGTCCTGTACTAGGAATGAGTGAGGTCAGTTGGACTTGGTTCTGTCCTTAAGGAACGGATGTCTGGCCGGGGAGCTAAGACATGTCTATAGGTAACCGCACAAGATAGAAGATGACAGCCAAGGGCAAGAACCAGTGAGAGTCTGGAAAAGCTTCTTAGGGGAGGGGATATTGGAACTGAGCTCTGTGGGATGGATGGGATTTGGAAATGCAGACGTGTGGCAGAGGTTGGGTGGAGGGACACCTAAGCAGCAGGGCCTCAACATAGAACAGGCAGCAATATTTTTAGGGGTTCAACTAGTTGCTATGCAATTGCAATATCTGGTGAAATTTAATAAGCCAAATGACCCATGGACTATCTTCATAGCAAAAATCTCAGAGGCAATCTTTTAGCCTAGGCAATAGTGCATGTTCTCTCTCTCTCTCTCTCTCTCTCTCTCTCTCTCTCTCTCTCTCTCTTTCTATATATATATGTGTGTGTGTGTGTGTGTGTGTGTGTGTATGTGTATATATATATATATGTGTATGTATGTCTATATATATTTTGTTTGTTTGTTTGTTTTTTTGAAACAGAATCACTCTCTTGTCGCCCAGGCTGGAGTGCAATGGTGCGATCTCAGCTTACTGCAACCTTTGCCTCCTGGGTTCAAGCAATTCTTGCCTCAGCCTCCCAAGTAGCTGGGATTACAGGGAACTGCCACCATGCACAACTAATTTATTTATTTATTTTTTTTTTTAGTAGAGACGGGGTTTCACCATGTTGGCCACGCTGGTCTTGAACTCCTGACCTCGGGTGATCCACCTGCCTCAGCCTCCCAAAGTGCTGGGATTATAGGTGCGAGCTACCGCGCCCAGCTAACAACAGCTGTATTTTTACAGTAATCTGCTGATAACTGGCTGATTGTCCACCAAATCAGTCTATTCAGTGGTGGCAGGTTGAGGCTAAAGAGAATTAAGGGTTGCCTGTAAGTCCCATAGAGATAGGTGCATTTGTATTGCATAGGAGACACTTCCCAGTGATGTTAAAATCCTGGGATGGGGTCAGAGATCTCCCTCCCAGCAAGAAATAAGTATGACAGTGAAATATTAGGAATAATCTAAATGTCCGATCATAGGGAAATAGTTAAGTTTCGATGCAGCTATTTGATGCAATGTTGTAAAACCTTTTCATTTTTTGACAGAAGACAATATAATTTTAAAAAAACAGGACACAATACTATGCAATATTATGTAATTTGCATAGGGACAGTGACTAGAAAGATAGGGTCAGGTGTGGTGGCTCACCCCTGTAATTCCAGCAATTTGGGAGGTCAAGGCAGGTGGATCACTTGAAGTCAGGAGTTCGAGACCAGCCTGGTCAACATGGTGAAACCACTTTTCTACTAAAAATACAAAATGTAGTTGGGCTTGGTGGCGCACACCTGTACTCCCAGCTACTTGGGTGTCTGAGCAGGAGAACCGCTTGAACCCAGGAGGCAGAGGTTGCAATGAGCTGAGATTGTGCTGCCACTGCACTCCAGCCTGGGTGACTGAGCTGACATATGATTGAGACTCTGTGTCAAGAAAGAGAGAAAGAGAAAGAAAAAACATGTTGCATTGTTCACTTACTCAGTGAAATATATACTATGTATTGAGCCCTCCCCATGCCAAGTGCTAGGAATATAGTGGGGAACAGAAAAAGAATTGGTATTTTTAATGGAGTTTATGGGTGGTGTCAGGAAAGATGGTTGTTAAATAAATCTAGAGCTGTTTATTATGTGCATGTCATCAGCTGAAGAAGAAATATGGTGCAGAAAAGTGTATCAGGGTGGGGGCAGGGGAGATAGTGAAGGCTTTCCTGAGGAAGTGATATTTGAGCTGAGATTTGACAGGCAAGTAGGTGTCAGTTAGATGAAGCAGAGAGGAGAGCATTTTTTGTAAGGGAAGTAGGATGTGCAAAGGTACTGTGGTTGGAGGGTTGGTGGAACTGAAAGAAGCCAGTATGGCTGAGCTGTAGATAGTGGTAGAATTTCCTTGTGATTGTATATTACTTTTATACTAAGCAGTCATTTCAAATATAATATATATGCAGGTGGTCATTCTTTTCATCTGTTGTAGAGCTAATTTTGCATAAATGTGCATTAAGGAAATAAGATTCATTTGGATTTGGAATCAGAGGCAGACTAATGTATTATTTATGATCTACATTTATAGGGCACTTTTCCACCAGTGAACTCAGTGAAATATTATAGGTGTGCAATTTATGGTTCAATAAGAAAACGGTCAGAGCAGCAGGCCTTGCTGATAGTATCCTGCCCACTTACGCTTAACTTCAGTCGTTAAGTTTGGGATGAAGAACCTGTAACAGCTAACCGTTTAGTTCTTGAAGATTCATTTTAAGAGCCCGTCGTAGTTGTTTTTATAAAGCTTCCTACAGAGGGGAGATTTCAAGTGCTAAGAAGATTTTATGATTTTGTTTTAGGTTACAGGAGGTTCCAGTGGCATTGGGAAGTGCATTGCTATCGAGTGCTATAAACAAGGAGCCTTTATAACTCTGGTTGCACGAAATGAGGTAAGGCTTGTAGGGTATCATTACTAACTTGCTTCTTCACCTTGAAATTAGTCAAAGAGGCTGTGCTAAACGTCGTAGCATTCACACCTGGAAAGTGCTTGTTTCCTTGATGTGAGATGTGTTTCCTCATTTACTGATTCTCTTACGTGTTTAGGCCAAACACTTCTTTGTTGAAATCAGGTTGGCCCCACAAGTATGTGTTTAGTACCATTGGCATGTTAGGCAACATCATCATAAATACTGCAGATCCTGAGTTGGGAGAGGTCAAGACCTAGTTTAAGGAGCTCACCTGGCCATAGGAAGCCAGGGAGGGCCCTCCGCCAGGCCAGAAGTGCTGGAAGCAGTGATTCCGGAGTTGATACCTGAAGGTGTGTGGGTGTTTCTCTGTAATTTTTCCCTATGATTTGCTTAGGACATGATATATATCTCTAGTGCAGTCTAGACACCGTAGAGGAATCTTGTCTCTCCTCAGAAGTTTAGCAAGATGTATTTTTCTATATCAAGTCAACACAGAATCTGTTTTTATTTTTTGTCAGGGTTTGTTTTTTTCTGCCAAAGTTTATTGAGTCTTTTCACACGGGCACTACTGCTGGGATCTGACAGGCAGACTTTGACTTAACGATGGATGAATAAATTTACTTAGACACAGATTCTCAGTGAAAGAGCAGGCTGGGGTCTTTAAGCAGTGACACTGTATGCACACGAACTGCCATGAAGTCCTCTTGCTCCCCGTGTAAGAGCCAAGGGAAAGTGATCGAGTGATCATGGCTGGCTCGTCCGCTGCTGCAATTCTGTGGCTGGCATAGTGCTTGGCATATAGCACATGCTCAGCCAAGTTTGTTGAATGAAGAAATGAAGGGAGGCAAGATGGAGAGCCTGGGAATGTCAGCATGGCATCCTTGTGTGGGGATCTGGAGTTCACCCATGTGCCAGGAGGGTGACCGTATGATAACTGCTCACGTGGGTGGATGGCTGGACAGGACCCAGTAGGAATGGCCGGACAGGGAGGGCCTCAGGGGAAACATTTAAATAATGTTGCAGAATTAGGCTTGGATGTCTAGAACTTATTTTACAAACCAAGAAAGGCAAAATTTGCTACCTTTTATTTATAGCTTGACTTTTCTAACAATGAATTTGCTTTGGCATTGAAGCCACCTTACATAAATGAAAACACAAATTTAATGAAATGGCATTTTTTAAGTTTTAAACACCCGTTTTGATGCAAGTAAATAAAAGTGGAGGCAGGGAAGGCCAGCATTTCAGCCCTCAGGAGCTCACATGGGGCCCTTACGTTGTTAGAAATGAAATGAGCTGAAGAACCTGTGGTGTTGAGAAATTCATTCTTTTTTTTTTTTTTTTTGAGATGGAGTTTCGCTCTGTAACCCAGGCTGGAGTGCAGTGGCGTGATTTCAGCTCACTGCACCCTCTGCCTCCAGAATAGCTGAGATTACAGGTGCATGCGACCACACCTGGCTAGTTAGTGTGTGTGTGTGTACACACACACACACACACACTGTTGACATGGAGTCACACATACCCTCAACTTTGAAAAGCACTGCGTATCAGCATATCAATAGCGTTGTGCTTATCTTATATCACAATTAAATAATAAAATCAAAACATTTATTAGAAAGAACTGTAGAGTTGGCCTCAGCAATTAGTACTGTTAATTGGGGTTTTGAGGTTTATCTGTTTTTCTATTATATTTCTCTGTAATTACTATTATCTTTTTTTTTAGTAGAGACAGGGTTTCACCTGTTGGCCAGGCTGGTCTTGAACTCCTGACCTTAACTTATCCACCCGCCTCGGCCTCCCAAGGTGCTGGGATTATAGGTGTGAGCCACTATGCCCAGCCTCACTCTGTTGCCCTGGCTGGAGCACAGTGGCACAGTCTCAGCTCACTGCAACCTCCGCCTCCCAGGCTTAATCAATCCTCCCACCTCAGCCTCTTGAGTAGCTGAGACCATGGGTGCTCACCACCACACTTGGCTAAGTTTTTGTGTTTTTGGTAGAGACAGGGTTTCGCCGTGTTGCCCAGGCAGGTCTTGAACTCCTCAGCTCAGGTGATCCACTCACCTTGGCCTCCCGAAATGCTGGGATTACAACCGTGAGCAATTGCACCTGGCCAGTGCCTGGCTGAGAAATTCTTCCTTTTCTAATGTAATTTTTAATTCCAGTTCTTGCAAAGTCAAGCTGTATGTATCTTTAGTCATAGGACAATATTATTTTATTATAGACACATTTCAGGTTTAGAAACCCTGCATGCCTTTCAGAAGAATTCACCTCCCCTTTTGTTCCTTTCTATTGTAGGATATTATTTAAGTTACTTTTTACAGCAAATTAAGAAACTATAATCTGATATCTGTTTTCTTGAGAATAAGTGAAACAAAAAAAAATTAGGAGCTTGAAAGAATTACTCAATTACACGGGTAACCTTGCTTGTCTTAAGAGTATTTTATAGTAGCCAGGTCTAGGTTTACCCATTCCATCCAGAAAGTGATTCTTACCATGTTTGGTTTTATAGGAGAAGAAGAAAATATTAGACAAAAAGCAGTGATGACAGGGAGTCACACATCCCCTCAACTTGGGGAAGCACTGCTTATCGATAGGGTCATTCTTGTCTTATATTACAACTAAATAACAAAATCAAAACATTTATTAGAACTGTACAGTCGGTCTCAGCCATCAGTACTGTTAATGGGGGTTTTGAGGTTTATCTGTTTTTCTCTTATCTTTCTCCGTAATGAATTTTCGTTTTCTTCTTCTTTTTTTTTGAGATGAGGCTCACTCTGTCGAGGAGCTGAGTGCAGTGGTCCTGCTTACTGCAACCTCTGCCTCCCAGGTTCAAGCGATTCTCCTGCCTCAGCCTCCTGAGTAGCTGGGACTACAGGTGCACGCCACCATGCCCAGCTAATTTTTGTATTTTTAGTAAAGATAGGATTTCACCACGTTGGCCAGGATGGTCTCGATCTCTTGACCTTGTGGCCTGTCCACCTCAGCCTCCCAGAATGGTGGGATTTCAGGCGTGAGCCACCACGCCCAGCCTTGTAATGAATTTTCACACTGGTTATCACTTATTCATAGTTTAACATACTTCACAGCTTCTTTCTTTTGTAGGCTGTGACCCAGTCTGCCTATGTAATGTATATACTGTTTTGTGCATTTTTTAGAACTTAATATATATATATATATACAAATAATTGCTTTTTTTCTCTCCATTGCAACAAACAGACGTACGTATAACAATCACTAGGACTGATTGTTCTGTGTTGCTTTCAGGACAAGCTGCTGCAGGCAAAGAAAGAAATTGAAAAGCACTCTATTAATGATAAACAGGTAAGTCTCTGTTTTCAGATGCTTTTTCTGCACAACTCAGCACAGTTGTATAAAGAAAAAACAGGGTTACTTCAACTGTGAATAATTAATTGAAAGCATATATGATTTTCCCAATTAAAAACATATTGTACTGTTTTTTAAAAGGTGAAATTGTTTAAATTGTCTAGTAAATCACAATATCACACACATACAATGAATAGACTCCCATACACATTCATATCTACAAATGGTCAAATAACAGAATGTTTTACTGGCAAATGATTTCATTTTAATTATGTATTTAAATAAACTTTATACAAATGCTTAAGAGGAAAGGAATATTTAAAATTTATTTGGTTATGGAATTTTTGATGAATAAAATGCCATATATATTTTAGTACAAAACATAATAACAAATTAGTAGTGACACACCCATCACCCAACCTAAGAAATAGAATTGATCAGGGTCTCTGAAGCCCCCTCTATGCCCACAGGAGCCTCGTCTCTCTTCTCTCATTCCTAGAGGGTTGAGACAAATGCCAACCCAGTTTTTTGTGTTGATCCTTCCTTTGTTTTTCTTTTCTTTTTTCTTTCTTTTTTGAGATAGTGTCTCACTCTGTCATTCAGGCTGGAGTGTAGGGGTGCAATCTCAGCTCACTGTAGCCTTGGCCTCCTGGACTCAAGCGATCCTCCCACATCAGCTGGGATTATAAGCACATGCCATCAGACATGACTAATTTAAATATTTTTGGTAGAGATGGGGTTTTGCCATGTTGCCCAGGCTAGTCTTCAACTCCTGTGGTCAATTGATCTACCTACCTTTGCCTCCCAAAGTGCTGGAATGAGCACGGCGCCCCACCTCTTTATCTTTTTAATTTTACCATATACGCATGTGACTCTAAATAATATATTTTATTTTATTTGAGGCGAAATCTCTGTCGCCCAGGCTGGAGTGCAGTGGTGCCATCTTGGCTCACTGCAATCTCTACCTCTCAGGTTCAATTGATTCTCCTGCCTCAGTCTCCTGAGTAGCTGGGGTTACAGGACATGCTACCACACCTAATTTTTTTTATATTTTTAGTAGAGATGGGGTTTCACCATGTTGGCCAGGCTGGTCTGGAACTCCTAACCTCAGGTGATCCACCTGCCTCAGCCTCTCAAAGTGCTGAGATGACAGGCGTGAGCCACTGTGCCCAGCCAGTATATTTAGTTCTACTTCATTTATGATATCATTCTTATTTTTTAACAGCTTTATGAGATATAATTCACATACCACACAGTTAACGATTTTTAATATATTCATAGAGTTGTGCAACTATCACCAGAATCAATTTTAGACTGCTTTCTTACCCCGTGAAGAATCTCTGTCTGTATTAGCAGTCACTTGCCATTTCCTGCCAGCCTCCTCTCAGCTAAGCAGTCACTCATCTACTTTCTCTGCAGATTTGTATAACTTCATTCTTTATGCTTCTTATGCAACTTGATTTCTTCACTCAATATTATTTTTAAGGCCAGTTGTGGCGGCTCATGCCCATAATCCCAACACTTTAGGAGGCCAAGATGGACAGATCACTTGAGGTCAGGTGTTTGAGATCAGCCTGGCCAACATGGTAAAACCCCATCTTTACTAAAAATAGAGAAAAATTTGCTGTGCCTGTAATCCCAGCTACTCAGGAGGGAGGCTGAGGCAGGAGAATCACTAGAATCTGGGAGGCAGAGCTTGAGGTGAGCTAAGATCACACCACTGTATTCCAGCCTGGGTGACAGAGGGAGACTCTGTCTCAAAATAAATACATATAAAATTTTAAAAATTCATTTATGTTGCTGCATAAAGCTGGAGTTCTTTGTTTTTTTTACTGCTATACAGTATTCTATTGTATGTATAGACTATTTTTTGTTCATCAGTTCAGCAGTTAGTGGATATTTAGGTTTTTTTTCCAATTTGTTTGTTTTTCACTATTAGAAAAGCTCTCACTATTCTCTTTGTGCAGATGTGCAAGATGGTACACACCCAGAAACGGAATTACAGAGCTGTAGTGAGTGTATGCAGCTCTTCAGCCTCACCAAGGCAGTTAAGCTCCCACAAGTAGGACTGTGGTTCCTGTTGCACCACATCCCTGCCAACACGTGGTATTGGCAGACTTCATACTTTTTGGCTTTGTGATGAGTTTTAAATAGTATTTCACTATGGTATTCATTAACTTTTTCCCATCCAGAATGTTAGAGATTTTTCCATGTGTGTTAAATAAATTTACCTTGAATTGCTACAGCCTATGATTGAAGAACACCAGAGCTTAATCCATGGGTTCCCTGCTATTGAGCTCTTTCCATTCTTTTTTTAAAATTTTTTTATTTTTATTTTTGCAATTGCAATCTGCGCTGCAGGTAAAAATCCTTGTGTATATCTTCTGTACATGTGAATTTTTCTCTAGGAAAATGTGGTCTTTACCTGAACCCTCTTCTCTGAAGCCCACAAGCATTGGAAGAACGCCAGCTTTGTAAATTGCCCCATTTTCTCCCGTATTCCTGTAATTTCTGATAGAGAAAGGAGTATGGTGTGAAGCCATGGAGTCAGTGTTCATGGCCAAGGCCAGTCTTGCCTGCTGCCAACACCATCTCTGCTCTGGGCTTCCTCGTCATGACACTTTCCACCTCTTCATCTACCAAAGGACTTTAAGTCAGGTGGAAAACTTACCTTTCACATCAAGGAAGGAAAATAGGGCTGGGGCAGGCAAGAATGAGCTTGATCCTTTGTCCACCCTGCCAGGCTTTTATGGGCCATTTTTGTGTCTATGTGACTTGTTAGCATTTTTTTGTTTTGAAATTTCACTTGTCTGTGGCATAGATTTTATTTATAGTAACTGATTTAATACTGTATAAAAAGGCATGTTTTAAAGTTAATCGTATGATTACTACTACCTTTTTTTTTTGAGACGGAGTATCACTCTGTCATCCAGGCTGGTGTTCAGCGATGTGATCTTGGCTAACTGCAGCCTCTATCTCCTGTGTTCAAGCAATTCTCCTGCCTCAGCCTCCGGAGTAGCTGGGATTGCAGGTGCCTGCCACCATGCCAGGCTAATTTTTTGTATTTTTAGTAGAAACAGGGATTCACCATGTTGGCCAGGCTGGTCTCTGACTCCTGACCTCAAATGATCCACCTGCCTTGGCCTCCCAAAGTTCTGGGATCACAGGCACAAGCCATCATGCCTGGCTGATTACTACTACTTTTAAAACAATGTTTTCTATGTGAGGATGTGGGGATAAAATCCACTCTGGGTATACATTACAGCCAAGGGCAACCCCTGTAGACCAGAATGCTTCAGGTTATATTTGCAAAGAGGGCTGTTTCCTTTTCTTAGGAGTCTTTATCATTTGGACAGGATTTCTTCTTGGCAGGAATCAGCACTGAGGCCCTGATATGGAATATTTCATCACTTCCCAGGGTCTGCCCATGCCCTTTCACAGTTCCTTCCATCCTCCATGCCTGGCTCTGGGAAACCCCTAATCTGCCTTCTGTCACTATAGATTAGTGGCATTTCAAGAGGAGTATTTTTATATTTCTTAAAAGATTCTTCAGAGTTTTAACTCCAGAAGCTGCCAAGAAAATTAGATCCTACTAATTGCATCATCAGCAAACACTGAAATCTGTTCATTCAATATTGGCTTCCTTCTGTATTCAATGAATTATCTTTTTTTAAAAGATGTCTTTAAAAATAGTTTTGTACCTGCAAAACTTGACCACTTTTTTTTTTAACAGGTGGTGCTTTGCATATCAGTTGATGTATCTCAAGACTATAACCAAGTAGAGAATGTCATAAAACAAGTAAGAAGTTGGGCTCATTGGAATTCACCAATGTGCTTGACTTTTGATTCATTCTTGCCATTTTGCCGTGTGGCTTGTAATGGGTACATCTTCTCTATAGGTTTAATAGTTTTGTAGATTTTATTTATTAGCATGGATTTGCTGCTGAGTGGTTTTTCTTCTCTGTTTCTTAATGCCTGCTCTGCTACATCTTTCTAGGCACAGGAGAAACTGGGTCCAGTGGACATGCTTGTAAATTGTGCAGGAACATCAGTGTCAGGAAAATTTGAAGATCTTGAAGTTAGTACCTTCGAAGTAAGTAAAAATGTTTCTTTGCTGGGGTAGCACATATGCTAAAAGTAGAGCAAGCCACAGGTAAAAGCTTTAAAAACGAATTTGATGAATGACTTCAGATGTCCATGGAAGCTTTAGAAGACCAGAGGAAGGCTGAACAAGGTTTTGGTCCTGGTGCTGAGACCATCAAACCTTAAGAGTTGAGACATTTTACAGCTGAGAAAACAGCTAAAATGGGAAGGGAACTTCTAATCTGACACAGATTACTGTAGCAATTCGCTGAGGTCCTATTTTCAAGGGAACACTTTGTAACCTAAGAGATGCTGGTTGTTCATATGAAATATCAGTATTATTAACAAGGAGAAACCAAAAAAGTTGAAGAACAGACTCACTAGAATTCTCAAATCAAGATAAAAAGATACTGCATCTTATTGATGTTTATATTTTTAATCAAGTTTACCAAGGAACTTCTCTTGGTAATTTATTTTAGCACCAAAGAAATGAACATTAGATTTGAAAATTTTTTGTTCTTTTTTTGAGATTGAGTCTCGCTCAGTTACCCAGGCTGGAGTGCAATGGCGTGATCTCAGCTCACTGCAACCTCCACCTCTTGGGTTCAAGCAATTCTCCTGCCTCAGCCTCCCAAGTAGCCGGGATTACAGGCACACATCACCATGCTCAGCTAATTTTTTGCATTTTAGTAGAGACAGGGTTTCACCATGTTGGCCTGGCTGATCTCAAACTCCTGACCTCAAGTGATCCACCCACCTCAGCCTCCCAAAGTGCTGCAATTGCAGGCATGAGCCACCCTGCCCGGCCTGAAATGTTTTTAAAATAGAAAGTGTTTTTTAGTTGGCAGTTCATCAGCAATCTTTTTCTTTTTTTTTCTTTCTTTGTTTTTTTTTTTTTTTTTTTTTTTTTGAGACAGTCTTGCTCTGTCCCCCAGGTTGCAGTACAGTGGCGCAATCTCAGTTCACTGCAACCTCTGTCTGCCTGGCTCAAGCAATTCTTGTGCCTCTGCCTCCCAAGCAGCTGGGACTGCAAGCACCCACCACCACGCTCAGCTAATTTTTATATTTTTTGTAGAGACAGGGTTTCACCATGTTGGCCAGGCTGGTCTGGAACTCCTGACCTTGTGATCCACCTGCCTTGGCCTCCCAAAGTGCTGGGATTACAGGCATGAGCCACCATGCCCAGCCTTCAGCCTTTTTCTTTTTTGAGACAGGGTCTCGCTCTGTCACCCAGGCTGGAGTGCAGTGGTGCAATCTTGTCTCGTTGTACTCTCTGCTTCCTGGGCTTAGGCAGTCCTCCTACTTTTGCCTCCCAAGTAGCCGGGAATACAGGTGCACACTGCCACACTTGGCTCATTTTTCTGTTTTTCTGAGAGATGGAGTTTTGCTGTGTTGCCCAGGCTGTTCTCAAACTCCTAGGTTCACATAATCTGCCCAGCTTGTCTTCCCATGGTGCTGGTTTTACAGATGTGAGCCACTGCGCCTGGCCTAACCGTCTTTTTCTTTGTGTTCTATTAAGGTTTCATTGAAATGATGAGTTTTGAATGTTTGACATTCCATTACATTCTGCTTCTGTAGGAAAAGAAACTGCTGGACCAATACTGTAGATCTCTCTTGCTTCTGGTATGCTATGGGAAAGCAATATGAACTCTGATTTTCTTAAGGCAAGTCAGGAGAGCCAAGATGTAGATACAAGCAGAGGAATGCAACTTGAGTATCTTAAGGTCCCTTTATCAACTAGGCATGGAAGAGTGCTGTCCAGGCCCGTGTACCTTCATCCGTAAGGATAGGAAGGGCGATTTTGAAGATTACGTCAACAGCTGGGTAAAAAATCAATTAGGGAAAATAATTGTTGCAGCCTAGGCATGAAGTGATCAAACAAAAGACTCGGGAGGTAGCCAGAAAAAGTAGTGTAGGTGCGTGTGCATGTGTATATGCGCACGTGTGTGTGCGTGCCTGTGTGTAAGGTATGGAGGAAGAATTGGTAGATTCATCTTGACTGAATACGGCAGGCAGAGAGTGGATTGAGGAGTAAGCAGTTGCATAGTTGTAATAAATAAATGCATAGTTGTAAAGCAAGGACCTTGGAAAGCATGCATGTCTGTTAGGGCTCAGTGAGAGCAGGGATTGTGTGCACTTGTGTCTGATAGAAGCACCAGAATAATGAGATATTTCATGGAGGTGCATGATGATGATGCTTCTTATTCTACAAGAATAGAAGAACTGAGTGTATAATAACAGGTGAATGTGTGTGGGTATCAATGACGAGGAAAAAGTGTGAAGCAGATGAGATGAGGGAAGACATAAAAACACATGTCATGTAATATGAAGCATGTTGAAATATTTCAAAATGCAGAATTTTGATTTTTTTTTTTTTTTTTTTTTTTTTAGACAGAGTCTCGCTCTGTTGCCTAGGTTGGAGTGCAGTGGTGAGATCTTGGCTCACTGCAACCTCTGCCTCCCTGGTTCAAGCGATTCTCCTGTCTCAGCCTACCCAGTAGCTAGGACTACAGGTGCGTGCCCCCATACCGGGCTAATTTTTTGTATTTTCAGTAGAGATGTGTTTCACCATGTTAACCAGGATGGTCTCAATCTCCTGACTTTATGATCTGCCTGCCTCAGCCTCCCAAATTGCTGGGATTACAGACATGAGCAACTGTACCCAGCCTCAATTCTGATTTTTTTAAAAAACTCACTTGGACTCTCAACCTTTAGTCTTCCGTTCACACTGCCCTTTCTTTTCTTCTCTCTCTTTCTTTTTGAAAAGAATCACAGTTTTATTTCTTTGCCGTGACCACCAGCATCTCTCCCACCCCTATACCCCTGGTATGGACTGCCTCTGGTGCCATTTTTCGGCAACATGGGACCGTAATAGAAAGGTGGGCTTTGGCATCAGACTAAACCAGTTCCAGATCTCACCTCTGATGGTTTCAAATCTAACCACTTACTAACCATGTGACTCAAGCAGGGCATTCCATTTACTTCTGCCTCAGCTTTTCTCCCAGCCTCAGCTGCCGTCTCTGTAAAATGGGCACAGAACTATGAGGCCTAAGTCCCATCATGTCTGTGTGTCGCTTAGCCCATGGCAGCTGTTTCATAAATTCATTTCCTTCCCCTTTTACACATTCAATCCACACATGTTTTAGAGAACGTCTAGCATGTCAAGCTTGGTCTGGGTCCTGGGGTTGCCGGGACAAGCAGGAAAATAAAGTCTTGGTCCCCATAAGGCAGGACAGACCACTCACAGGCAGGCAGACACAACGGCATCTGAGCAGGAGCCACAGAGGAACGAAAGCAGTAGGCTCGGATAGAGAGGGAATGGGGCAAGGGGGGCTCTGTCAGGAGTTGGAAAGCTGGAGAATTAGTGAAAAGAGACAAGGGGAGGGGTGGAGAAGATGGCAGCTGCAGGCCCCCAGGTGGAACAGAGCTGGGAAAGTGCAAGGATTGACTAGGAGGCCCCTGTGGCTGGAGCTTCCCAAGTGAAGGGCAACGTGGGGCAGGGTCTCTGGACCTCAAAGGCCTGCGAGAAGACTGTGGAGGGTTTTAAGCTTGCCTGGGAAGCCATGTGATCTGCGTTTCAGGATTTCAGGTTTTTTTGTTTTTTTTTTTTTTTCAGAGAGTCTCGCTCTGTTGCCCAGGCTGGAGTGCAGTTGCACAATCTTGATTGACTGCAACCTCTGTCTCCCAGGTTCAAGAGGTTCTTCTGCCTCAACCTCCGGAGTAGCTGGGATTACAGGCATGTATCACCATGCCTGGCTAATTTTTTGCATTTTTAGTAGAAATGGGATTTCACCGTGTTAGCCAGGATAGTCTTGATCTTCTAACCTCGTGATCCTGCTGCCTTGGTCTTTCAAAGTGCTGGGATTACAGGTGTGAGCCACCATGCCTGGCCTGCATTTCAGTTTTAAAGGTTCTTCTTGCCTGCTGTGTTAGCCATATTGGCCATGCTGGTCTTGAACTCCTGACCTCAGGTGATCTGCCCATCTTAGCCTCCCAAAGTACTGGGATTACAAGGTGTAAGCCACTGCACCCAGCTCAAAATCTGAAACTTTTTTTCATTTCCTATGAGCCAACATAATGCTCAGAGGAAATGCCTCTTGGAGCATTTTGGATTTCAGATTTTCAGATTATAGATTTGGAACCGATAGTACAATACAATATTCCAAAATCCAAAAAAACCCCAAATCCAAAACACTTCTTTTTCCAAGCATTTGGATAAGGGACACTCAACCTGTACCACACTTGATACATTTTCTAATGATAGGAAATTATTTTCATTTAAAATGAATTCTATCTCAGTTATATGTTTGCTTTATTATTTTTAGTTTTTAATTTTATTGAAGTTCACATGCATGTAAAATGCCTGTACACAGGCAGGATGTGGTGGCTCATGCTTGTAATCTCAGCACTTTGGGAGGCTGAGGCTTGCGGATAATTTGAGGTCAGGAGTTTGAGACCAGCTTGGCCAACATGGTAACACCCCATTTCTACTAAAAATACAAAAGTTAGCCGGACATGGTGGCATGCGCCTGTACTTCCAGCTATTCAGGAGGCGGAGGCAGGAGAATTGCTTAAGCCCAGGAGGCAGAGGTTGCAGTGAGTCGAGATTGCGCCCCTAAACTCCAGCCTGGCCAACAGAGTGAGACTTTGTAATAAGTAAGTAAGTAAAATAAATAAATAGGTTGTGCACAGTATTTTGGCACGTGTTGTCACAACTCATTGCTGCAAGAATTAAGCATGTCCTGTGTAACTACTGAAAGAGGACTGTCGGAACTTGTACCTGATTTCTTCTCGACTTTTCTCCCTGTGCCTTTTCCCTTTGCTGATTTTGCTTTGCATCCTTTCCCTGTAATAAATCTTAGTCCTGTATAGGACCATCTGCTGAGGTTGTAGACCTTCTAGTGAATCATCAGCCTGGGCATGGTCTTGGGGAATCCCAATACTCTTCTCTTAGTTTTCCTTTTCGGTGGGTTTCTTCGTGGTTTCTTGGTGCTGTCTCTCTTCTTGTCTCCCTGTAGATGTTAAGGGGAATTCTCTTAAGGTATTCTTTTGTCCTTTCATTGTCTGCTTTGTACCTGTGTTTACTTTCTCTAAGAGGTCAGTAGCTCTGTCTGGTGTGACTTTGCTGGAAGGCAGGAGGCTCTTGGCTGCGTTTTCACATTTCAGAATCGGGCAGTAACAAGGTGACTGAGACTTCTGTGCTTGTTTGTGGAGCTGTTTGACAATGGACCTTTTGGAAAGGTGATTGTCTAGTGATATCTGTGGATGTAGTTTCAATGTCATTATCTGTAAATCTTTTCTCTTGTGTTGGTCAGAAGCCCTGAGGAGAGTCTTCCAGCCTTTTGTAACTGCATCTGGGAAGAGTGTGGTGGCTCCTGCCTGTAATCCCAGCTGTGTGGGAGGCTGAGGCAGGAGAATACCTTGAATCCGTGAGGTAAAGGTTACAGTGAGCTGAGATTGCGCCACTGCACTCTAGCCTGGGCGACAGAGCAAGACTCCATCTCAAAAAAAAAAAAAAAAATAGAAACTGAAACTTTAGTCTCCTGCCAGGCTGGAAGAGGGGTACAAATCCACTCTGCAGAGAGGGGAAAGGCATCTAAGATCTAAATGCCTTTTTTTTCCCATTGTCCCACATCATTTTTAAAATTGAGGTGAAATTCATATAACGTAAAATTAACCATTTTTAAAGTGAGCCATGCAGAGACATTTAGCACATTCACGGTGTGGTGCACCCACCACCTCTGCCTAGATCCCAAACACCTGCATCACCCAGAGGGCAGCCCTGCACCTGCTAAGCAGTTGCTCCCCATCCCTGCTTGCCCCACACCCAATCTCTGAGAACCACCGATCTGTATTCTGTCTCTCCTGTCTGATAATTTCATATGATTGGAATCATACGATACGTGCCCTTCTGTGTCTGGCCTTTCTCTTAGCATCATATTTTTGAGGCTCATCTATATGTAGCATATTTGGGTGCTTCATTCCTTTTTATGGGGTGATAATATTCCATTGTATGGATCAACCACATTCTGTTTATCTATTCATTGATGGCCATTTGGACTGTTTCTAGCTGACTGCTCATTAAACAGACTCTTAGTCCCAGCTCCTGTCTCAGCCCTATGCTGGCCCACGCTTCCCTCCACCCCGGACACTCTCGAGGCTAGAGCCTTTTGGGTTCTTGTGGTAGAATCTGGCTTTTTAGTTTCTCCACTCCCCACTTACCATTTAGTTTTTTGTGGTCTGCTAAGTTAGTTATCCCTCATCAGTCTGTTCTGCTTCCAAAAGGTTATAGCTGTGACTTTTATTCCTTTTTCCTTTGTTCTTGTAGGTTCTTACCTTAAAAAAAATCTCTGGCCGGGCATGGTGGCTCACGCCTGTAATCCCAGCACTTTGGGAGGCTGAGGTAGGGATCATGAGGTCAGGAGTTTGAGACCAGCCTGGCCAATATGGTGAAACCCTGTCCCTACTAAAAATACCAAAAAAAAATTAGCCAGGTATGGTGAAACATGTCTGTAGTCCCAGTTACTCAGGAGGCTGAGGCAGGAGAATTGCTTGAACCCAGGAGGCGGAGATTGCAGTGAGCTGAGATCACACCACTGACTCCAACCTGTGAGACAGAGTGAAACTTGTGTTTAAAAAAAAAAAAATCTCTTTACTGAGATTTTAGTGAGATCTCTAAAGGGAGTTGAGGTAAACATGTGTTCAGTGTACTGTCTTTTTTCAGATATTCTTTTAGAACTTTCTTTGTTTTTTTTGAGATGGAGTCTCACTCGGTCACCCAGGCTGGAGTGCAGTGGCGCGATCTTGGGTGACTGCAACCTCCGCCTCCTGGGCTCTAGCGATTCTCCTGGCTCAGTCTCCTGAGAAGCTGGGATTTTACAGGTTTCCCCCACCACACCCAGCTATTTTTTTTTTTTTTTTTTTTGTATTTTTAGTAGAGACAGGGCTAGTCTCAATTCTCCTAACCTCAGGTGATCCACCTGCCTTAGCATCCCAAAGTGCTGGGATTACAGATGTGAGCCACCATGCCCGACTTGGAACATTTTTATTATCAGAACAATATTATGCTATTAAAACACATTTTTGGAACATAATGAGAATCCCAGCATCCTAACTCAATCACTTATGATCTCTATTTCCTTGGTCTTCCCTCTAAGAATGTGTACTTTTACTTGGCCTTTGAAGTAATTACTGTTCCAGTGTACATACAGTCTGGCCTCTGCCTTTTAAACTTAAATAGCGTAGGTATTTTCCCCTGTCACTCCCAGTGTTTCTGGTCATCATTTAAAAAAATTATCTAAGCCAGGTGTGGTGGCTCACACCTGTAATCCCAGCATTTTGGGAGGCCTAGGTGGGCATATCACCTGAGGTCAGGAGTTCAAGACCAGCCCGGCAAACATGGCAAAACCCTTATCTCTACTAAAAATGCAAAAACTTACCTGAGCGGGGTGGTGAGCGCCTGTAATCCCAGCTACTTGGGAGGCTGAGGCAGGAAAATCACTTGAACCCAGGAGGCAGAGGTTGCAATGAGCTGAGATCATGCCACTGTACTCCAGCCTGGGTGACAAAAGTAAAACTCCATCTCAGAAAAAAAAAAATCTGGCCAGGTGTGGTGGCTCACGACTGTAATTCAAGCACTTTGGAGGCCAAGGTGGCTGGATCACCTGAGGTAGGGAGTTCAAGACCAGCCTGACCAATAGGGTGAAACCCCGTCTTAAAAAAAAAAAATCTGATATTCTCTTGAATTAAGATATTATGATTTTATGTTCATGTTCTTTCCATAATATGAAAAAGAATTATGATTGATCTCAAATTCCATAATTCAGGTATTTAGTTTTTATTTACATGATGATCTAATATTTTTACAAATATTTAAATATTTGGAACATTTAATGCAAGTATTTTAGATTTTCAACTTAAAAATTATGGTTTTTAAGAATTCAGGCTAGACACAGTGCCTCATTACTGTAATCCTGTCACTTTGGGAGGTCAAGGCAGGAGGATTGCTGGAGCCCAGGAGTTTGAGACCAGCCTAGGCAAAATAAGAGGACTCTGTCACTACAAAAAATACAAAAATCAGCTGGGCGTGGTAGCATGTGCCTGTAGTCCCAGCTACTCAAGAGGCTAAGGCAAGAGGATTGCTGGAGCCCAGGAGGTTGAAACTGCAGTGAGCCGATGTTGCATCCTTGCACATTAGCCTGGGGGACAGAGTGAGACGCTGTCTCTAAAGAAAAATGATAATAGTAAAAAAATAAAAAATAAATAAATAAAAATTAATAGCTTGCAAGATGAGAAAATATACTATTAGTACTCTTACCCATCATAATGGGATAGCCAGTGGTTCTTGAGGCCAAGGGCAGGGCTATTGCTTAGCTTGTGTTTTCTCTTTTAATTCTTGCCACAGTCCTATGCAGTCATACCCACATCAACCTTGTTTTCAGCCGAGAAAATGAGCAGAATATGTCACTTTCTTATTCATCATCATATAGGCAATAAATGGTAGAGCCAAGGCTTGAAACCAAAACTTTAAATCACCATCCTACTCTTTGTGCTTTTCTTATAGCTTAGAACCAGTTAGGCTGAAAATACTTGAAAGCTCTTTCCTAAAACTGTGTTTCAGAAAGTACTACCCGCAAACATGTAGTATCCTTTTTATAAGGAGAAAACTAACTTCGACCAGTTTTCAGGAAAAACAACTGCTGTTAGTGGTCAGAATGCAAGACTAGACTGAAACAGGCTTCAAATGGGAAGTCCTGAGGCTTCAAATGGTAGGCCTCAAATCACATTTCATTTATAACCTCATGTAATCATTCATTCAGCAAGTCTGTTGAGCTTCCCAATCACTTGAGCTTGCACTGAAGAACCAGACTAAATTCTCTCTGAGCATAGCCTTGAGGCTTTTGACCTCATGCCCTCATGCCCTCCTCATGTGAACTCTTTGTTCCCTGCAGAGGTTAATGAGCATCAATTACCTGGGCAGCGTGTACCCCAGCCGGGCCGTGATCACCACCATGAAGGAGCGCCGGGTGGGCAGGATCGTGTTTGTATCCTCCCAGGCAGGACAGTTGGGATTATTCGGTTTCACAGCCTACTCTGCATCCAAGTTTGCCATAAGGGGATTGGCTGAAGCTTTGCAGATGGAGGTAAAAGTTGTATTCATTTTTGTATCTATTCCTCTCCGCTCAGCAATATACATTCCGCTTGAGTTTTTTAGCTTCTTTACATGTGTTCCTGTATTAAGTTAGAGATTTTTAGATTTGACATTAGTGAAAGAGAATTGGCTCAACCCTGAGTTTGCAGTTAACATTTTTCATTGCATGAAGATTATAGTTATGACAGGTGCAAAATGGTAATGGATTTTTGCTTGTTTAATTTAATATGCAAAATATTAGTAATATCTTGATAGTGTTATTGGTCTAATACTGTGTGAGTCAGAGTAAGGTTAACCAGATATTTTGTTCTATAGAGATTTTCCTTTAACAAAAAGATGTGTCCTTATGACTGAATAATACATGAAATTAGTACAGGTTTGAGAGAAGAGCTTGAATCAGCTGCTGATTCTTAGCTTTTAGACAAGTCATTTAACTTGCTCTCAGTTTCCTCATCTGTAAAATGGGAGGATTGGAATAAAGCAAGAATTTGGCTCTCCCAATATTTATATTTTTATATCTTAAAGAAATGGGAAAGTGAATGCTTCTTATTTACATAGTTAATAGTAGGTTTTGTGGAAGAAGGATATAGTTAGGATTAGCATCAAAATAGTGATTGTCATGATGAGCGCAACTTTCCACCTCACCCGTTCGAGCCGACTTCCACGTTATTGTCACACGGGGATGCTTAGAGAGCATCACATACGTATCTACCCCAAAATCACATGCTGAAAAAGACAAGGGACGTTCTTCCTATTGCTCTGTACAGTTGTCCCCTCTTATCTGCAGGGGATATGAGCTAAGACCCCCAGTGGATGCCTAAAATATTAAGAGCCCAGAAGAGTATTTACTGTGGCCAACCCCTTATAGTAAGAGTGTCTTTTGGGGAATCCTGGTTGATGTTTTAGGTTAGGGGTTGGCAAAACTTTCACCAAAGGGCCAGACAGTAAACATGTTAGGTTTTAAAGGCTGAACAGGGCCTAAAACAGCTACGTTAGTTGGCTGCGATAGCAGGAAAGCAGCCTTAGCAGATAATATGTAAATGAACAGTTGTCACTGTGTTCCAGTCAAACTTTGTTTATAAAAAACAGATAGTGGGCCAGATCTGGCTCATGGGCCATAGTTTGCTGACCCCTGTTTAAAAGACCCCCGTAAGAGTCCTTAAAGGTGTGTGATAGAACACTGCATTGGTTAGATACGGAACGAGTGTGGCAGTACAGATGATTTGCTGGGACAGTGGCAGTCCTGGTATGCCACATAGGAACTGATAGACCATGCCATTCTCATACCAAAGGAACCAGGCACAGATTTTATGGTTATCAACTGGCCTAATACTCTGAATAATAGATTGTTATAATATGCTTAGCAAATAGGACGCTCATGGCTGTGAAATTTCAAATAAGAATACTGGTATTTCTTTTGAAATACGACTTTGAAAAGTCATTTTCTGAATAACTGTTTTATCTATTTTTATTTTATTATTTTTTAGCCCTGGCTGTAGTGCAGTGGCACAGTAGAAGCTCACTGCAGCCCTGAGCTCCTGGGCTCAAGTGATCCTCCTGTCTTAGCCTCCCAAGTAGCTAAGACTACAGGTGCACAGTACCACACCTGGCTAATTTTTAAAATTTTTTTAGAGAAGGGAATCTCACTATGTTGCCAAAGCTGGTCTCAAACTCCTAAGCTCAAGCAATCCTCCAGCTTTAGCCTCCCGAAATGCTGGGATTACAGGCGTGAGCCAGCACACCCAACCATCATTTTATTTTTATCATCGTTTTGTAAAATATGTGAGGGAGAGGTTGTGATGCCACCTTATGAGAGGAAAACCCAGTTTTCGGTAAATTCAATGTGTTGCTCAAAGTCACGTAGTTACTTGGTGACAGAAATCATAACACGATCCAAGCCTTGACCCCAGGTCTGGCTAGTTGGTTCACCTGGCTAGTTGCCTTGGCCCTTTACTTTGGCCTTAGAATCCTTGCAACCGAAGGCGTGTTTGGGGTATGAAGAATCTGCCCATTAGGGCTTTTTGCAGAGCTGCGTCAGCATTCATGAATTTAAACCAAGGTATATAATCTGGGTGGCCTGGTTTCACTTCAGGTATAACAGAGATGCTATAACAGAGGAAAAAGAAAGTGAATTGCTGGTACAGACGGAGTCCCCAAACCTCTGGGACAAGTGTGATTTGCATACTGCAGACAGCCGGCCTGCACGCTCAAGTCTGTGGAACTTCTGTCCTTATTTGGACTCCATTAAAAATGTCCTCACTTTAAAAAAGGAAAATAAAATGAACTTATGAACCATGAAAAATAGGTTCTGGGGAAAATAAATGCAGTTATCAAAATCTAGTTTGTTCATAGTAGAACTTGCATCAAACCAGTTATTATTTCTCTAGAATAATTATAGTAGTATTTTTTTTTGAAATCTGGATATTTTGGTCAAGGTAGGTGTGTTGTCTATCAATGAAATCGTAATGTAATGCCCAAACTCGAAATACCTTTTTTTTTTTTTTTTTATTTTCTGGAGACAGAATCTTTCTCTGTTGCCCAGGCTGGAGTGCAGTGGTTTGATCTCAGCTCACTGTAGCCTCCTCCTGGGCTCCTCCCACCTCAGCCTCGCAAGTAGCTGGGACTACAGGTGTGTACTACCATGCCTGGCTGGTTTTTTGTTAGGTAGGTAGGTAGGTAGGTAGTTAGTTATTGTAGACATGGGGTCTTGCTATGTTGCCTGGGCTGGTCTTGAACTCCTGGATTCAGCTGATCCACCTGCCTTGGCCTCCCAAAGTTCTGGGATTCCAGGAGGTGTGAGCTACTCTGGCCTCTAAATATTTTTGACAATTCTTTTGGTTTAATTCAGTTTGACATCTCCCTGTCCACCTCGCTTAGCCCCCACACTAAGGTAGGACCCTGGCATTGTTATGGGTACCGTAAGTAATTTTGAAAGAATGCTTCGTTGGCATTTTTGGGTCTTTATCTTTTTACTCAGTCTTTTAGGAAGAAATGTAAAGATTTTAAAAGTTAATCTTTTTGGAAAGCAGACTTCTGAGGTGGGTTATAGCTAACAGTGTGGTAGCAGAGACCAAGCCAAAAAAAAACAAACTGATGCTCCCTTTTCTGCTTTTCTTACCTGATCATGCTCCTCGTCTCACATCTCTGCCTTCTGTGGTCTGAAAGGAAACTGAAGCTTAAATTCTAGAGTTTTGTGTAAACAGCTGTGCTTTCCAGCCCCCCATCTTTGTGTTGATGGGATGGGGAAATTGTATTATTTCAATAACAAATCAGTTTGTTGTTTTTGAGACAGAGTCTCACTCTCTTGCCCCGGCTGGAGTGCAGTAGTGTGATCTCAGTTAACTGCAACCTCTGCCTCTCTGGTTCAAGCGATTCTCCTGCCTCAACCTCCCGAGTAGGTGGGATTACAGGTGCCCACCACCATGCCTGGCTAACTTTTGTATTTTTAGTAGAGATGGGGTTTCGCCATGGTGGCCAGGCTGGTCTTAAACTCAGGTGATCTGCCCGATTTGCCTCCCAAAGTTCTGGGATTACACGTGTGAGTCCCTGTACCCAGCCCACAAATCAGTTCTTGAACAAGTGGTCAGTTGTCTTTCTGTTTGAGATTGAGGCCAAGGAGAAGGGAGGTAGTGATAGTAGGATGGGTATGGGGCAGAGCAGTGGGCACAGAGAATGGTCAGGCAAGAGAGACAAGGCGAAGCAGTGGCCAGGCAGCAGGGGACTCAGTGAAGACCTGGCTCATCCATGGTTAGAAAGAGTGGTGATCTCAGGGAGCCAGCGTTGTCTTATAAGAACAAGTAAAGCCAAACTACCCTCATTTTTTTTTATGACAGGGTTATGAGATCAGTAGATTAAAGGAGAGTATAGATGTGATTTAATATATTCAGATTTTAGCAAATATTTGACCAAGAGTTTCAGGAAAATAGAATCTTTTTTTTTTTTTTTGAGACGGAGTCTCACTCTGTTGTCCATGCTGGAGTGCAGTGGCGCGATCTTGGCTCGCTTCAGCCTCCGCCTCCCAGGCTAAGGTGATTCTTCTGCCTCAGCCTCTCAAGCAGCTGGACTACAGGCACCCACCACCACTCCTGGCTTTTTTTTTTTTTTGTATTTCTAGTAGAGATGGGGTTTCACTGTGTTAGCTAGGATGGTCTTGATCTGACCTCGTGATCTGCCTGCTTCAACCTCCCAAGGTGCTGGGATTATAGGTGTGAGCCACCGCACCCGGCCAGGAAACTAGAATCTTAATCTTATGCTTTGTTCTTAGAACACTACTGGTGTGTAGAAGTAATTCAATAAGTGCTCGTCGTTGCACACATAAATAAAAAAAATACAGGTAAATAGTGAAGTGACTAGCCACTCGAGGGATTCAGCCAGAGACTGGGAGAGTCGTTTGGTTGGATGTGTAGCAAGAAAACCAACCCAGGAAGCGATTAGACTGGTTTCTCCTAACCCCAGCAGTCTGTTTTCCTACCTCATGAGGAAGGTGTTCTGAAAAGCGGTGTTAACCTTTGGCAATGCAGCCTTAACCTTGAGTTTGAGAAGCACTGCTGAAATCCTGTTCTCCGTTAGCTTTGGAGCCGCATCCTCCTTCACTGCGAGAGAGAAGGCAAGGGGCAGCGCAGACATGAGTGTCTGGGCAGTCGGTGTCAGTCTTTATGTGTCTGCCTAATGACCACTCGCTGCATTTTTTGTGGTATTTTTCTCTGGTCTTCGCACAGTGGAGGGCAAGGCTGGGGAGACAAGGATTTTGTAAGTCACGATTTCAAAAACAAGTGGAAGCGAGTTTCTGGCTCATCTGCCTCACTGCCTGGCCCCGATCCAGAGCTATTTATGAGCATCGCTGGGCTGTAAGGCTGCATGCTCTGGTGATGCCCGGGGGATGGGCTGTCCGACGCCCTAATTGCACTGGAATGGAACCCACAAAGACATTTTACTTTCACGACTACACTTGCCAGGATGGCTGGCTGGGCTGTCCTGCTTGCAGGCCTGTGTGTGCTTCTTCCTCCACTTCAGCTCCCCCTAAAGCCCTCAAAACTATGCTTCACTGAAGGAACCAGGGAGAAAAGGGGCTGCATGATAAGATAGGACCCTGGGCTACTCTTTTATTTATTTATTTGAGACGGAGTCTCTCTCTGTCACCAGGCTGGAGTGCAGTGGTGCGATCTCAGCTCACTACAATCTCTGCCGCCCAGAGATTGGCAAGCAATTTTCCTGCCTCAGCCTCCCGAGTAGCTGGGATTACAAGCATCCGCCACCACACCCAGCTAATTTTTGTATATATGTTTTTTTAGTACAGACAGGGTTTCACCATGTTAGCCAGGATGGTCTCGATATCTTAACCTCATGATCCACCTGCCTTGACCTCCCAAAGTGCTGGGATTACAGGTGTGAGTCACCATGCCCAGCTTTTTTTTTTTTTTTTCTGAGGTAAAGTCTCCCTCTTGTCACCCAGGCTAGAGTGCAGTGGCATAATCTCAGCTCACGGCAGCCTCTGCCTCCTGGGCTCAAGCAATTCTCCTGCCTCAGCCTCCCAAATAGCTGGGATTACAGGCACTTGGCACCACACCCAGCTAATTTTTGTATTTTTACTAAAGACAGGGTTTCACCATGTTGGCCAGGCTGGTCTCAAACTCCTGACCTCAGGTGGTCCACCCACCTTGGCCTCCCAAAATGCTGTGATTACAGGCGTGAGCCACCGTGCCCGGCCCCTGGGCTACTCTTAAAGACTATCACATTAGGCAGTGGGATTGTTGATTTTCAGCAAGGGTATCCTTCTGAAAATGTGCAGTGGCTGATCTGTCAGCTGCCTCTCCACTTCCAGATCCCTTAGGTGTTTTCTTAGGGACTAAAAGGAGCCAATAACAAATAAAAATCATGGCAAAGAGATTTTCATGGTATGAACCATTGCTGTTAGAGTTGCTGGTTGGCAGGGCAAGATAAGCATGTGCAGCAGGGCTGTGGCTGAGCAATCTGTGGGAGGGTGTGTCCTGGCCAACAGCAGAGGAATCTGCTGGAATTGTTGAGGGGGGTGTGTATGAGTGGGGGCGTGAATCGTGAAGGGTGCAGGCATGGTGGTGAGTCACACAAGTGTAACAACTTTCTCCAAGTGTCAGATGCAGAGGAGCGACATAGAATTTCAAATAAGGCAGAGGGCTTTCCCTGTGTGAATGCAGGTTGAGGCTGTCTATAGGGGAGGTTCTTGGCTGGTCTGACTTGGAAGTTCCACTCAGTGGTTCTGTTGTTTTGTTTTTGTTTTTGTTTTTTTTTGAAACAGAGTTTTGTTGTTACCCAGACTGGAGTGCAATGGCGTGATCTGGGCTCACTGCAACCTCCTCCTCTTGGATTCAAGCGATTCTCCTGCCTTAGTCTCCCAAGTAGATGGGACTACAGTCATGCCCCACCACACCTGGCTAATTTTGCATTTTTAGTAGAGACCGGGTTTCTTCATGTTGTCCAGGCTGGTCTTGAACTCTCAACCTCAGGTGATCTGCCTGTTTCACCTTCCCAAAATACTGGTATTACAGATGTGAGCTACCACACCTGCCCTCACCCAGTGGTTCTTGTTGGTTCAGTGGAGGAGGAAGTGACCCTTGACCTCCTAAGAGGCAGAGACTGGTTGTACAGGGAGCTCTGGAGTAAGCAACTTTGCAGGGACAGTTCTGGACTGGGTTTGCGGGGACACAAGAACGGTATAGGGCAGGAGGTTTTAATGACCCCAGAGTATTTTGTGAATGAAATCAACACAAGAGTATCAGAAGCACTCTGAAGGAAAAACAGATGTGCAATCCGGTGAAGAAGGAAAGGGCAGCGCCAGCCCGTTGCCTTGATAAAGTGCTTGGATGTGTGCAGTGCGTGTGGGAATTGGCCTCTTTTTAAAACACCGCCCTCCTCATTGGACGGCTCCCAAGGCCTCTGCCTGGGCAGCAGGAGTGGAAGACACTGTGAAGGAGGTGACTTGCCATACGTAGGGCCAGCTGTTTTCTGAACAGCCGCACAGGTGAAACCAGTCTAGGTTAGGGTGAGCTTTTTGCCTTCATTCTGGAATCATCTTTATGGAGGGGGTTTCTCGATGCAGTTGGTGGTAGTTCTCTGCTTACAGAATCCCCCCGCTGTTCTCACCGCCTTTTGGGAATCAGGCAGCCAGTGCAGGTTGTAGTGTAGGATCTCACTGTGTCTTGTTTACTGAAGGTACACGTGTTTGCTTTCAAATGCAGGTGAAGCCATATAATGTCTACATCACAGTTGCTTACCCACCAGACACAGACACACCTGGTTTCGCCGAAGAAAACAGAACAAAGGTCAGTAAGCATCCCAATCTGAACCTCTAATGTTTACTGCTTTTCTGATTTTCTTTCTGCTCTTCAGCTCACACTCATTTTCATCAGTCAACAGTGTTCACAGGGTAGAGCACCTAGCTGTCTTCTGATGACCTTGAGATTCTCCAGGCAAATATTCCTTCTGTCCTTCCTCTTTTCCTTCACTTCCTTCTCTTAAAGTTTAATTTACATTTCTACCAATTTTTTTCTGTATAGAGACAGGGTCTTGCTCTGCCTTTCAGACTGGAGCACAGTGGTACAATCATGGCTCGCTGCAACTTTTGTTCTGGGACATTTTATGATATTACTCCTTTTATCACTTCTTTCTTTCCAAAGTAGTTCATTCTTTCTGGAGCATTTACTATTCAGATTTTTTGAACTGATCCTCTAATTTCCTTCTCTTTTCTCTCATTTTATATCTCTTTGGCTTTTTGTTCTACTTTCTAGATTTTTTATTAGCTTTATCCTTCAACATTTTTGTTGAAATTTTTATTTCTGCTGGCTTACATAAAAATTATTTTAGATATCTTTTCTCTGAATATTTAAAACAGTTTTTAAAAATAGCTTCTTGCCTTATTTCATGGATTTCGTATTTTCTCTTATTTCTAAGGATATTCACTCTGGAAATTTAGTCTTGTTTTTGTTGTTGTTTTGTTTGAAAAGTTTTCTACGTCTTGTATTATTTATTTCCTCCTAGTTTCTTTTTCTCTTGTGGTTCTTTTTTTTTTTTGAGACAGAGTTTCACTCTTGTTACTCAGGCTGGAGTGCAATGGCGCAATCTCGGCTCACTACAACCTCCGCCTCCTGGGTTCAGGCAATTCTCCTGCCTCAGCCTCCTGAGTAGCTGGGATTACACGCACGCGCCACCATGCCCAGCTAATTTTTTGTATTTTTAGTAGAGACGGGGTTTCGCCATGTTGTCCAGGATGGTCTCGATCTCTTGACCTCGTGATCCACCCGCCTCTGCCTCCCAAAGTGCTGGGATTACAGGCTTGAGCCACTGCGCCCGGCCTCTTCTGTGGTTCTTTTAGGCTTCCTCAAATATCTGGTGATCCCTGATTGTCCATATTTTAGAGTGAGGCACTAAAATGCCAATTGTAAATCTCTAGCTTCTCGGCTGTTTACTCTAGGATGATCAGGAGAAGAGGCAGTCACATCATTAGAAGACTCTCGTATGCCAGCATCTGCTCACTTTTCTCTTGGTTTGATCAGTTTCCTCAGTGAGGAATCATGTTGTCTCCTGCCTTTGGGAGAGTAAGATCTCCTGTCTGTGTTGTGGGAGCGAAGCAGGACAAGAGGTCTGGGGAGCTGACCACCTAAGTGCCAACTTTGGCTTAATTTTTCTGTTTCCACAAGGTGCCTTATTACTACTCTTAGTGCTGGCTGGTGTTCCAGAATTAGCAGTCTGATTAGTAAACTGCTAATCTTCTGCCGTTGTAGAGGAGATGATTGGGGTCTCCATTGCACTTGTCATAGCTTATAACAAACTTCTCATAGCACTTATAACAGACATCTCTGTTCTATAAAATGACTGCCAATCATCCTGAGCTGAATACAAGCTTCACATTTTTCAATGGAATATTCCCTTTGCCTTGACACATAGTAGTTGCTTTTTTGAGCAAATGAATAAGTGAAGCAGGAAGAAAGGAATCAATCAGAACTTACTACCTTGAAGTGTGGTTGATTTTAGTTTTATATTTTTTTCTTCTCTTTTATACCAATACTTTGTAAATGTGAATCTCTGCAGCATAAAAATTGGCACTTAAACTCCCTAGACTGTATATTTGTAAAAAGCTGTTTATGATTTAGAAGTGTTTTTTCCCCTATTCTTTTCTCTTTGGCTCTGCCTTTTAAAAAATTACTGCTATTTCAAAGAAGTAAATGTAAGCCAAATGTCCTGTCTTAGAATATGCAGAGATCTGCTAAGCAGCTTTGTGGCATTTGGTATGCAGTCTTTTAGTTGGAAGCCAAAGCCGACAAAGGGTGGTGATTTCCCTGTTAAGGTTTGATTCTGATGTTGATTAAGTTGGGTTTTTTTTTCTTTCAGTAAAATTGTAGACAGACTTGTTTGGGTAAATACAATTCTACATTGATGTGTGGGCCCTTTAGGGGGCGCCATAGTGCTTTAGAATCTTACGAGTATTTAGTGTGGTTATGTCAGCCTGGTGGTCTGGAAGAATGAATAGCGGCACCTTCAAAACAGCCTTTCCCTTACTTCAGGTTCATCAAGAAATACTTGATCTTTATGAAATACTTTACTTTTCTATTTTAAGAAAATATAATCTGGTTTTCATTTTCTGTAATCTTTCAAGCTTATATGGTAAAATGTACAGTCTCATACAGTTTAAGGCTTTCATTTAACACTTCTAACTGAAATTGTTTGACACTTCTAATTGGAACTAATGGAAATAATTTTTGAGTGCACATATGCAAGGCATCACAAAGAAAAGTCAAAGATAATTACTGTATTTTTAAAAAGGCCCTGCCCATAAGAAACTTAGGAGGTAAAATGCAATGCACAAGTAGCTATAATGTGTATTAAAGCAGAAATGTTCACGGAAGAAAGAGAGAGGATACTGCCAGTTAGTTATTTAGGAAAGGCTTTTTGGGCTAGGCAAGGGCTGAAATGGACCTTTTGAAGAAGAAAGGCCAAGATTTGGGGTCTGCAACTCCAGCCTGGTAACTAGCATGCAGCCCATCTAGGAGCACTCAGGGCTGTCTCTTAAGTGGCACCTTGTCTTTCAGTGTCCTGAGCATTTGCCTCCTCTGCAGGTCCTTTAAGAAACATCTGCCTGCCTTGGGCCCCAGGTTCATCCCCAGGGATCAGCCCTTTGCTGGCCTGGGATTATGGTCAGGATGGAGTTGCTGGTCTTGGGAGCAGGCTTGCTCTGGACACAGGTCTAGCCTCTACAGAAGCACTGTCCCTCAGGTGTCTGTCTGGCCAGCACTGAGGAGTCAAAGAGGGGGTCTTTCTGAAGTAGAGTGATGTGTTCTCACTCTAGCTTTGACAGCCCTCACGGGAGCCAGGACTACATATGTCTTAAGAGAATGGCAAAGGCCTCCTTGTCTTGCTTCAGCTACTAGGCAGAATTTTACATAGTAAATAGGTAGACACTGATTTAGAATCCAGATGGACCTTATGCTCACAATAAGAATCTGCTCAAAGGTAGAAAATTGGAATTATTTGTAAATCAGGAGGCTGTAAGAATAACTTATTTCTAATGTAATGGGCAATCATGATATCATTATGTACATTTTTTTTCATTTTTAGCCTTTGGAGACTCGACTTATTTCAGAGACCACATCTGTGTGCAAACCGGAACAGGTGGCCAAACAAATTGTTAAAGATGCCATAGTAAGTCCAATCCTTGTTTTCTGTACCATTTGTATTTGTAGTACTACATTTCTGAAAAGATATTTGTCCAAGTACTTATTTTAAGACATCAACTATTATAAGAGTTTAGTCTGTTAGATTCGTCATATCTAATGTTGGAACTTTTCTACTTTTAGACGTTTTATTGACTGTATTAGTGAGTAGGCTCCTGGAAACTGATTGTATACCTTAACCTTAGGAACAGGTTCACCAGAAGGATGTCTGGAAACACCAGTTCTTTAAAAAGAAATGAGACTTTTCTATACAGTGTAAACAGTATATACTATGTCCTATATACAACTGGCTGCTTTCTTTCCCATTCCTGCTTCCCTGTATCATTTTCCTAAAAGTTAGCTAATGAGAAGTGCCTTCAACCCTGTGAGCCTGTCCTCCTGTCTTCCCTGTTGATATTTTTTTTATTCAGAATCCAAAATGATATTTTTTTCTTTTTTTTTGAGACGGAGTTTTGCTCTTGTTACCCAGGCTGGAGTGCAATGGCACGATCTCGGCTCACCGTAACCTCCGCCTCCTGGGTTCAGGCAATTCTCCTGCCTCAGCCTCCTGAGTAGCTGGGATTACAGGCCACCGTGCCCAGCTAATTTTTTGTATTTTTAGTAGAGACAGGGTTTCACCATATTGTCCAGGATGGTCTCGATCTCTTGACCTCGTGATCCACCCGCCTCGGCCTCCCAAAGTGCTGGGATTACAGGTGTGAGCCACCGCGCCTGGCCCAAAATGATATTTTAAGAAATGACGTGCTGTTTTCTAGAAGAACAACATGTGCCTCATGCTTTTTGATAACATTTCTGTTAATGCAGAAAAGTACACATTTATGAGGGATGTCTGTAAACCACGTTACATTTGGAAGATCTTTAGTACCGTTGGAATGAGAGGGGATAGCACGTAGAGTAAGTGCTATCACATTAGACTGAACTGACAGAATAAGACTTACTGAATTCTGTTAAAATATATATGCATGTGAAGAACTTTGCTCCTAGTGCATTAAAAGGCTCAGGAAGATGGCATAAATGGAACTTTATTTTTGCTACTTATCTCAGGTCAAAGCAAATGCATTTGGTGGGTTTTTTCTTTTCTTTTCCTTTTTTTTTTCTTTTTGAGGCAGAGTTTCGTTCTTGTTGCCCATGCAGGAGTGCAGTGGTGCGATCTTGGCTCACTGCAACCTCCGCCTCCTGGGTTTAAGCAATTATCCTGCCTCAGCCTCCTGAGTAGCTGGGATTACAGGCACCCACCACCACACCCAGCTAATTTTTTGTATTTATAGTAGAAATGGGGTTTCACCATGTTGGCCAGGCTGGTCCCAAACTCCTGGTTTTAGGTGATCCACACACCTCAGTCTTTTGGCCACAGTGCTGGGATTATAGGCATGAGCTACCTCATGCCTATAATTATAGGCCCAGCCTATTTGATATTTTTGTTGATGTTAAATAGCTATTAGTATTTTGGCAGTATTCATTTAGTTTGGTGGTTTTCAAACTTTTCTTGACTGCTTTATATTCTTACAAATTGTCACAACCCCAGAGAACTTTCATGTATTTATATGGCTAGATTTATTGATAGTTGCCATATTTGAAATGGAAGCTATGTGTAATATTTATTAATTCATTAAAAATAACAAAAATATACCCATTGCTTTATAACATGACTTTTTTAAAACAAAATTTACTACTTTTCAAATCAACAGTTCAGTGAGAACAGTAGCACTGGTTCACATTTTCACCTGTCTCTTTAAGGTCTACATTAACAGCTGGATTCAGATAGCTGCTTCTGCATTCCATCTGTTGTAATAATGTTGTTTTGATGGAAGGATATGAAGAAAATCTGGCCTTACACAGTTACGGAGTTGAGAAAGGGAGTAGTATTTTACGAGGCTTTTGAGATAATTGTGGACATTCCTTTTGATATCAAACCCAAACTCAACACATGGTAGTTTCTTACAGGTTAGTTGCAGTATGGAATTGGAAACTGCATCAGTGAATGTTTTGTTCTCTGTTACATTAAATTCCATTGGTCCGTCTTGTACTTTGAATGGATCTTTTAACCATTCATTATTTCGTAACATTATGCATTAGTCATTTGGAAAATATGGGTTGACTGAGTGATCAAAAAAATCTCTTTCATCGATGTTACTGCTGATCTTATCATAAAAGTATGCAGCCGACAGTCTCAGGATGGTGGATACTAGTTCTGCCAAATCGTCATTTTTTTCTTCAAGGCTCAGATTTTAACATTGATGACACATGTGGCCAGTTGTTTTTCCTGAAGTGACCAGCTTGCTTTCTTCATTTTTAAAGTCTGCCACATACTGTCTGAATAACCGTAGATATATATGTCAGTGGTCTTTCATATAAAAATTATGCTCCCCAGCCAGGCATGGTGGCTCAGCCTGTAATCCCAGCACTTTCGGAGGCCCAGATGGGTGGATTGCTTGAGCTCAGGGGTTTGAGACCACCCTGGCCAACATGGTGAAACCCTGTCTCTACTAAAAATACAAAAATTATCCGAGCATGTTGGTGGGCGCCTGTAATCCCAGCTACTCTGGAGGCTGAGGAAGGAGAATCACTTGAACCCGGGAGGCGGAGGTTGCAGTGCGCAGAGATCACACTGCTGCACTCCAGCCTGGGCCACAGAACGAGACTCTGTCAATAAATAAATAAATAATAAAAATGACACTCCGTGAAAGAAGCGGCAGTTCAGCCCTTGACTTACGCACAGCTACACAAGGGCTTTTCTTCCAGGCAGTCGACCTCCTGTGGAGTGCAGTGCCACAGAAGCGCATTGGGCATGCTCTCATTTGTCACACAGAATACTAATAAGACATGCCCTCGAGGGTTGCCATTTAACAAAACGATGAATTTTGCTGCTTTATCAAGAGGATTTTTAAGCAAAACTGACACTTTTCGATTTTTAAAAGAGTGTCACAATTTGTATTTTCTTTGTGTATTTATTACTGCAAGTGCATGCGGTAGTACAGGTGACAATGACTCCTAGTACAGTTTGGCAAGAACACTGTAGTTCTTGCCCATGTCTCTGCAGTTTTGCAGATGCAAAACTGTCCATACAAATATCACAGTGTACAAAAGACAATGAACGTCTTAGTGTTACTAGGACAATCACTTGCCTTCGGGGCTCGCAGAGGTCCGCGGACTCACATGTTGAGAACTGTCCATCTGCCAAGGCCCTGCACCCATTTCCAAGCGCTCATCAGTGCTTTGTTACCGTTTTATCTCACGTAAAGTGAACAAGCACCCTGCATTGTTTCTGATATGTTGGATTGATTTCCATCCACATTATTAGGATTCCCTCTTTCTCTTCTCTTCCTTCTCTTTTAGCAAGGAAATTTCAACAGTTCCCTTGGCTCAGATGGGTACATGCTTTCGGCCCTGACCTGTGGGATGGCTCCAGTAACTTCTATTACTGAGGGGCTCCAGCAGGTAAGCCCTGCCTTACTAGCAATCAGACACACAGACCGACAGACAAGAGAAAAACCGCCTTTCATCAAACCTTGATGGGAAGAGGTTAAGGGAAAACGAAGTAACTTTATTCGAGAATATAAAGTAACTTCATTTGAGAATGTATTTTTATTGAGCTATCAAGTTTTCCTCTTCCTCCACCAGAAATGAGTAAATAGGTTAAAGATATAACTTCAGGAATTTAGACTGGCAAGAAGTCTTTGGTGCCGTGTCTTGCAGATAGAGAAATAAAACACCGTCTCTGCTGTCGAGGTGTTGATCTGGATTTTCACCTAAGCACCACTGCTCCGATATGTTTTGAAAAATGGAATACTGCTCTAGAGTAAGGGGTGGCCTTGCCTAAAAAGTACTGGAATATTAGACTAGAAAACCTTTTCTACAAGAATCAGGTCACACAGAGCTAAATTTAGGAGATACAAATCAAGGATTAAACACAATTCCTATGCTTATGGAATTTATTATTTTGTCCAAGATACACAGTTCGTGTTTCATTAATGTGCTAGGTACTGTACTTGCTCATGGAGAATCAGATGTAAGGCGACCTCCAACTTCTGGGGCTTACAGTCAAATGGAATACACTGACCAAAATGGTGATAGTAGGCTGGGTGCGGTGGCTCATGCCTGTAATCCCAGCACTTTGGGAGGCTGAGGTGGGTGGATCACTTAAGGTCAGGAGTTCAAGACCAGCCTGGCCAACATGGTGAAACCCCATCTCTACTAAAAATACAAAAATCAGCTGGGCATGGTGGCAGGTGCTGTAATCCCAGCTACTCGGAAGATTGAGGCAGGAGAATTCCTTGAAACCAGCAGGTGGAGTTTGCAGTGAGCTGAGATTGTGCCACTACTCCAACCTGGGCGACAAGAGCGAAACTCCATCTCAAAAAGAAAAAAAAAAGTGATAGTAAAGCAGCGTAATATAGTAGGGGTTACAGTAGAGGGAATGCTCTGGAAAAGCAAAGCCGTGGGATAGTTGATAATGAGTACTACTTTCTGTGCAGTAGACCACATTCAGATTTGCATAAATGACACAGTTATTGCCCCTTTTTTCCCAAGCCCTCTTTTCTTTTTACTCTGTAATATACCTACTGTCTTGCCATTCTCTCAGAGGTCAATACTTTATTAGATGTAAGTTTTTTGAGGACCAGGCCCCTGCCTCTTGTTTGCAATTGTACCCCTAACAGCCAGTGCCTGGCACTCAGTAGGAGCTCCAGAATACCTGAGCTGAATGAATGCATGAATTCTGTTATTTTTTAATTCTTGGGCTGGCATAGTGGCTTACACCTGGGGTGTTGTCCCGGACTCCCCTCCTTCTGTCCCTCATGTCGGGGATCAGTGTCACCCTTGTCACTCTGTTCTTCAAATGCTTCCATGCTCTGCAGTTCTGGCGCTGCTTCTGGAGCCCAGGCCTGGGTTGCCACAGCAGGCCCCTGCCTGAATTGTACACTTTTTGAGCCAGAGGTTGTAAATGACTCCCATGGGCCTGTAAAGCAGTTTTGTTTGGTCCATCTGGCATGAGTGTGTGTGTTTAAGATTTTAAAATAGTTTTAAAATTAGGTTTTATATAAAAGGTCCAGATTTCAGACTTTTCTTGGAAAATCAGAAGGTCTGGCCGCACAGTCTGCATTCTCACCTGGCAGTCATCAGCAGGCACAGGTGGCAGCTGCTCCTGAGGGAGGGGCACAGTCCCCACAACCACTATGGTCTGCAACCCAACCCCCTGGCCAGGCCCGTGGGATGCGTTTGAGTGTGCCCCCACATTTTCCACACCAGTTTTTCTAAACTGCAACATGAAAACATTCAGTGGCTCCTTGATACCATCGGGATAAAGTTTTAAAAATTCCATTGCAGCTGGGTGTGGTGGCTCACACCTGTAATCTTAGCATTTTGGAAGACCGAGTTGGGAGGATCACTTGAGCTCAGGAGTTTGAGACCAGCCTGGGCAACATAGTGAGACCCTGTCTCTACAAAAAAAAAAAATGTAAAAAGAAAAAAAAGCCAGATGTGGTGGTGCATACTTGTATTCCTAGCAACTTAGAAGACTGGGGTGGGAGGACTGCTTGAGCCCAGAAGTCTGCGGCTACAGTGAGCTATGATCACACTACTGCACTCCAGCCTGGGTGACAGAGCAAGACCCTGTCTCTAAAAAGAATTTAAAAATTAAAAAAATGTCCATTGCATGCCATAAACCCTCTGATCTACTACCCCACTTACCTTTCCAGGCTCTTTCATTTCTTTCTCTACCAGTCCTCTTCTTTCTGGAACCTTCTATATGTCCTGCTAACTTATAATCATCCTTTAGTTCTCACCTTAAACATTGTTTTTTTCCAGAAGATCCAAGGACTGACTTCAGTGCTCTGAGGGTGTAGGGAAAAAAACAAAGTGTTTTTTCTATTCTCTTACTCAACACTTCTACAAAATAAAAAAAAGCCAGGCATGGCAGCTCATGCCTGTGGTCCCAGCTACTGGGGAGGATGAGGCAGGAGCATCCCTTGAATTCCAGAGGTCAAAGTTTTGTAAGCCATGTTCATGGCACTGCACTCCATTCTGAGCAACAGAATGAAAGCCTGTGTCAAAAAAACAAAACCCACAGAAGACGTCTGTGACCTCTGGTCACCAACCAGGAAGTGTGTAGAGATTTCTCCCCAAAACAATCAGTCAGTCATTCAGATTTGTAGTGGAGGATTCCTAATGGGATACCAGCTGGGTATCCACTCATTCAGTTCAATTCTGATACTACTTATCTGGAATTAACATCAGATCCCACAGGTGAAGGGCTCAGCCCAGCAAGACTTCCCCAGCCTGAGACACCAGTCACACTTGACAGGTTGTCTCCTATGTTTCTGTCCAGTCGGCTATACACTGGAGTTTTCGTGACCCCTTCCTCAGATTTGGTTAATGTGCTAGGACGGCTCACTGAGCCTGGGGAGAGGTGCATGGGGAGGAGTGTGGAGCTCCCATTCCCTTTTTGGGTACCACCCTCTGGGAACCTGGTGCACAGTGGATGCCTGGCCTCCCCACTCCATGAGCGTCTGGGGGTGCTTCTGTCTCTCTTTCGTGTTGGGTACCCTGCTTCTTGTCTCACATGACATCATCTTTCTCTATCAACTGCCTCACATTGGCTGTTTACTGAAATAGCTTTCAGAAATAAAAACGGGGCCTGGAAGGCAAATTTGTTGTGACTTTGCATATTTGAAAATGTTTTTCTTTGTAGTTTTCTCCATTTTCAAAATCCCATTTAGCGTTGTTTTTGTGAGTCCTTTGGGGAAAGAGTGAAGGTGTATCGGTAATCATGGTCTCAACCCCAAGGCAGTAGTTCCACTTTTACTTGTCTTTCCAGCTCGAGAATCAGCTCATTGCGGGCAGGGACTGTGTCTCTCACCACAGTGTTCTCAGCACCTAGTATAGGGTCTCGCTTTCATGCTCAGAACATAAATCTCAAACCAAAAAAGCCTTGATTGTCATTTGACTGCTTGAGATGCTGGAGTGGGTCTTTTTAAGCAGTTATAACACTAGGGCTGTGAGCGATACCAATTTTGTTCTGCTTATGGTTTGAACTTATTAATTGGGCAAATACTTTGTTATCTCTCTGGCAGGCCCTGGGCTGTCCAGTGGTGCAGAGCACACATATTCTGTTGTTACAGCATACTGACATTTACAGAGTTTTCGTTATATTCATCTTTAGAGCAGACTAGAAGATGTCTTAGAAACTATTGATTAGAGACCTAGGTACCTTGAAATAGTCTTTTTTTTTTTAGACAGAGTCTTGCTCTGTTGCCAGGCTGGAGTACAGTGGCGCGATGTCGGCTCATTGCAACCTCTGCCTCCTGGGTTCAAGCGATTCTCCTGCCTCAGCCTCCGGAGTATTTGGGACTACAGGCATGTGTCACCATGCCCAGCTAATTTTTATTTTTTTAGTATAGATGGGGTTTCACCATGTTGGCCAGGATGGTCTTGCTCTCTTGACCTCATGATCCACCCACCTTGCTGGGATTGCAGGCATGAGCCACCGTACCTGGCCACCTTGAAACAGTCTTGCACTGCTGGATGTACTAAAAGTGCTCTCTTTATCTTGCAGGTGGTCACCATGGGCCTTTTCCGCACTATTGCTTTGTTTTACCTTGGAAGTTTTGACAGCATAGTTCGTCGCTGTATGATGCAGAGAGAAAAATCTGAAATTGCAAATAAAACTGCCTAATTCTTCTTACCCTTGGAAGAGACTGTTTCCAGATAATTTGAACAGCTTGCTGCTAAATGAGACTCAATTTTTGACCGATAAACACCTATATATTGTTTTTGAATATCAGATTGGACCAGTGCTCTTCAGAAATGCGGCTGCAAGCAAGGAGCTGGAAGTTCACCTCCTGACAATATTATTAACACTATGCAAATATGGAATAGGAGACCGTTTGATTTCCTAGGCTTTGAGGTAGAGAGGTGATGGTATGAGAATTAATAGCTGTGAACAAGGTAAAGAACAGGATTCCAGAATGATCATTCAATTTTTTTCTATTTATTCTTTTTTGCCCCCCTAGAGATTAAGTCCAGAAATGTACTTTATGGCACATAAAGAAATCTTGAGGACTTTTTTTAAACCTTCCATAAAAAACAGTTTTGAGTTTCTAGGGTTTGTTTTCTTTTTCTTTTTAACTTGGTGTGTTTTATTCAAGATGAGTCGGACCCATTGCCAGTGAGTCTGAATGTCACTGACAGCTCTGCGTTGTGCTCGGCACTCACTCTGCTGCTGGTGGAAACTCATGGCTTCTCTCTCTCTTTGATCCCATAAAGCTACGAGGGGGACGGGAGAGGGCAGTGCAATGGGAGGTAAAGAGATATCTTCTAGTAGTAGGAAAAGCAATGCTTTCTTTAGACTGAAATGCTTAGGGAATGTTTTATTTCTCATTCATCAGGAAAGGCAGCCTCCTTAAATGTTTTCAGAACAGCGATAAAATCTAGAAACTTCAGAATTAACAATTCCTTCTGTAGCCATGATGACCTAAAGTTCACCTACTCCATTTTAGCCTCTATTTGTTCTTCCCATCTCTTCCTTTCCAATTTTGCTTATACTGCTGTAATATTTTTGTTTAAAAAAAAGTGGGGGGGAAGAAGAAAAAAAAGACCAGCTAAAATTTTTTTTGACTTGACTTTTTAACTTAATTCATGAATTAATTAAAACAAATGAAAAAATTAAAAAGTGTGACATTTTTCTCAGAGCATATATGTAACTTTTAGGAAAGGCTGATGATAATATGAAGTTTACCCATTAAGAAAAAAAAGGCTGGTTTTGAAGAGGCTCGCTTTTGAAATAAAACGATCACCTGTTCTTTCCGAGACTCTCCCGCTGAGCCTGCAGACATTATCTTCATGCCACGTGCTAAGGAAGCCCACTCATTACTCTCACTCTGTAGCCCTGGAGACCCTCCTGGCCCCCGCATGTTGTTTCCAGGTTGTGGGATCTGTGTTCGCTGGTGGATTTCTACAGCAAGTGCCTCTGATGAGTGTCAGCCAGCATCCCCTGCTGCATCCTGTGTGTTGTTCCTACTCGTCTTCCTTGCATACGCAGTAGCACATTCCAGTTCTCTTCGGTGAGAAAAGACCTCTGTTTTTGAAGAGGAAACTTTCTTAAATTGTAACATAAAACTTAAAAAACAAAAACTCTATACAAAAATTGAAGACCTAAAAATTATAGCAAACCGTTTTTTGCTCCTTTTTGAAGCTCTTGACTTTAAATGATTTAACTTTTTACAGATGTTTTATGGCTTTAACCCACGGTATCTTTTTATTAAGATCTGAAAATAGCATATTTAAATACTAATAGATACAGAAGAAATTATTGTTTAATGAATAAATTGCTTGGAATGATTTCATTGCAGCTTGTGAGGTTGGGTTGATGCCAAAATGGTTTCATAAATCTTTCAGTCTTTTAGAGCCAAAGTTTATAGATTACATTGAGTTGCATTGTACAGCTACTAAAATGGAATCATAGCTTTTCATAATTTGCAGAAAACAATTACATTAATGTCTAGATGTTTCTCAATTTTATTCTTTTCTCATAAATGTTCTTTGAATGTTGGCACCTTCTACTGCTGATCTATATTAGAATCTAGTCCAAGATGGTGTCTGATTTAATAACATTAGTTATTTCAATATATTTTTTTCAAATTATCCTCATAGAACCTGTCGCCTCCAGTGAGATTGTAATCTACTACCTGAATAAATGTAAGAGTGCCTGTTAGGAGCCCCTTTTATGGGGCAGAAGACAATTGTCCCTATCCCAATTTCCACTAAAATATCAGATCAGATTTTTGGAGACCATGATGATGTCAGGGAAGAAATTTCCTTGTCAGATGTTAAAGGGCTGCAGTACCTTACCAAAAAACGTGGAAATCTAAGTTGGTTGTTTTTTTTTTTCCTCAATTTGATACCGTAATTCATTTGGCAGCAAAAGCAGACTTGAACGGATGTGAGAATATTGTGCTTTTTATTTATGCTACTTGATTGTGACTGTTAATTTTCCCTGAAGAAATATCCATGGATTTGATTATAGGTATTCCCCTAGATGCTGTGGAGGTGTTTTGTAATAATCAAAATGTGCCCATATTGCCTTCTTTATTTGTTTGTTTTTTTGAGACAAAGTTTCACTCTGTTGCCCAGGCTGGAATGCAGTGGTGTGATATCGGCTCACTGCAACCTCCACCTCTGGGATTCAAGCGATTCTGCTGCCTCAGCCTCCTAAGTAGCTGGGATTACAGGCATGCCCCACCATGCCTGGGTAATTTTTGCATTTTTAGTAGAGATGGGGTTTCACCGTGTTGGTCAGGCTGGTCTCAAACTCCTGACTTTGTGATCCGCCTGCCTCAGCCTCCCAAAGTGCTGGAATTAAAGGTGTGAGCCACTGTGCCTTACCCCTATTGCCTTTTTAAAACCACAAAAATTATAAATTCTGAAACACATCCATCCCAAAGGGCTTTGGATGGAGCCCTTTGGGATGTAGGTATTTAAGAAGCCTCCCATGATAGGCTGACTTCATCCAAAACATGAAAATATTACAAGGCAAATTCTATTTTTTATATTTTTTGGTTCAGTGCTTGAACAACTTGTTTTTCTGATGGGCGGGGGAGAACCCTGAGTGTGATTGTTATGGAGACTAATGACTTTGTTTTTTTAAAGGATCACATTGATTCAACACCTTCTGTTCGACCCAGAGGTGGGTAAATATTACCTACGGCAGTAAATGTTTAATTATAATTCTGTTTAAATGTTGGCTTTCTGTCTGTAGCCAAGAATAGCTCATTTCGTGAATTTCGGTTTTTAAGGGCCTGCTTTTTAATTTGGTTGCATTATTTTATTATAGTGTATTTGTAAGTATATTAAAAAATTAACATTCAGCTATAAAAATCCTCATATGTTCAAGGACTTAATAATTGAAAAATATATAGAAAACAATCCTTATTTCTTTTTACAAAAACAAAATCATGGAAATTATTCTTTTCTATATATTTAATTATAAATCTTTATCTGGGCTGGGCGCAGTGGCTCACGCCTGTAATCCCAGCTCTTTGGGAGGCCAAGGCAGCGAATTGTGAGATCAGGAGTTCGAGACCAGGCTGGCCAACAAGGTGAAACCCCATCTCTACTAAAAATTCAAAAAATTAGCTGGGCGTGGTGGCGAGTGCCTGTAATCCCCTACTCAGGAGGCTAAGACAGGAGAATCACTTGAACCTGGGAAGCAGAGGTTGCAGTGAGCTGAGATTGTGCCACTACACTCCAGCCCAGGCAACAGTGCGAGACTCTGTCTCACAAACATATATTTATCTGGAACTGTTAGACCATATATTATTGATTGTTGCAAGTGAAATTTTGAGAGATTGTTTCTAGTGTTTAGATGATGGAAACATTTTGGTAATATTGCTTCAGTTCAAAGAATTATGTCTTTTTCCAGAAGAAAGCAACATCATTTTTTTTGCTAAATTATATAAACATTTAATTATATCATGTTCTAACTCACTTGAGGCCACTTTTAAATATTCATACTCTTTGACATAAGATACTTTGTATATTTCTCATTTCTTTTAGTTCTTAGTGAGTCAGCTTTAAAAAGTACCTGCCGACCATAACCTGGACTAAATCTTGCTGTTCAGGTTATACTGCAGTGCAGTGACTGTGGATTTGCTATTTTGAAGGGGAGATAGTAGCTATTATATTTTACAATTGCTTGATATGATAACTCTAAAGACTTTTTCATTGACAAGAGTGCACATGGCTATTTTGATACACAATGGAAGTTGTGTTTGCTACTTTAGAAGCTTTTGTGGCAGAGTTGTAACCTAATTTTCATACCTTGTATTTCTGAATCACAAAAAAATAAATAAATGGGAACAAGACTTACAGATTTGAAAACTTATTTTTCTGGAAATGCGTGTTTTTTATGAGACTATTTAAGAAAACATAAATGTCTTTAATAATGTTATTCTGACTTTGCATCTAAGCATTTCACCAGGCCTAATTTTTATCATTTTTTAGGAAGTCGTATTTTTGGAGTAAATATGTGGTATTCTGAGCTCTTGTTTCCCGTATGTTCTGTTTGTGTCACTATGATGTGGGATATATGAGTAGAAGTTTAAGAAATGTGAATTTAGTAAAATTTCTTAAGTAATTATGTTTTCTATACAAATATGTTTCTCATACTTTAAACTAAAACCTGTCTATTCCAACCATGTAATAATGCCTAGATCCTGAAAGGCACCAAATTATACAAGACTGATATGGAAAAGAACACACCTTGATATTTATCAGTTCATAAATAGAAACGTTTTGGAACATTGAGAAGAGACTTCTTGAACATTGTGGTTGCACACTTAACCTTTTTCTTTCTTTTTTTTTTTGAATGGGGGTCTCGCTCTGTTGCCCAGGCTGGAATGCAATAGCGTGCTGTCAGCTCAATGCAACCTCCACCTCCTGGGTTCAAGCTATTCTCCTGCCTCAGCTTCCCGAGTGGCTGGGATCATAGGTGCGTACCACCACACCCGGCTAATTTTTGCATTTTTAGTAGAGATGGGTTTTTACCATGTTGGCCAGGCTGGTCTTGAACTCCTGACCTCATGATCCACCCACCTCGGCCTCCCAAAGTGCTGGGATTACAGGTGTGAGCCACTGCAGCCAGCCACCTTTCTTTACACCTGAGCAATTTACATAATAAATGGCATAGTGATATTATTTCTATAATATTTATTTAGATATTTTTTTAAAAATTCTGTTTTGATTTCTGTTACACTCCTGATTTTATGACCTCTATTTTGCCTCCTCCATCATACATTTGTCCGGTACCAGTGATGAGCTGGGGATACAGTTCTACATCAACGATTTGTTCCTTCCTCATGGCAATTACATTGTTTCTTCACCTTCCCCCTTCCTTCATCCCTTGGGTGGCTCTGCTATATCCTTACAAGTCTCTTAGACAGAGAGGAACCACTCCCCATTTTCTTCTTTGGCTTGGAACCTCTGAATTTTAGGCTTCAAATATTTGTATCCCAAGCACTGTTCTAAGCTGGAAAGGCTCCAAGGAAAAATATGATCCCTGCCCGCAAATAGTTTATAGTCTAGTGAGAACATTTGCAGAGATTACCCTGTGATCTGAGAATAGCAGCGATTAAGATGTCATAACCAACACTGAAAACTTAACAGGTGCCAGTCACTTGTGAGTGCTTTACATGTATTAACTCACTGAGGTCACACCCTAACCCCAAGAGTAGTACTATTTATATTTCCGTGTCATAAATGAGGGAACAGGCACAGAAAACTTAAATACTTGGCTCAAGGTCACAGCTACTCAGTGGTGTCGCCAGGATGAGAATCTTGATGTTGATTTTTAGGCTTCGAGCCTTTGTACTAAATGTCTTCTAGCAGCACAGATGGAATGTCAAGACAGCCCAGGAGCAGCAGGGATGGCTTCATAGAGGAGGAAGTTCTTCAGCCAAAACTAGAGGAATGAATTTGCCAGGTGAAAAAAGTTGGGCACAGTTCAGGGAGACAAGTGGATGTGCAAAGGCAGAAGACGTGAGAGACCTTGGCATATTCCTGCAACCACACAAAGTGGATATAGCTGCAAGAGGGAAAAAGGAAGAAATGAGGGGTACGGAGGGGGGTGGCAAAGGCCTGGGCCAGACCATGCCATGTGAAAAGTTAAGAGTTTAGGTTTTCAGGAACTTTGAGCAGAAATATGAAATAGCCAGATTTTAGCTTTAGTGAGGTCATGGTAGCCCTTGAAACTCAGTTCTAATGTTGCTGTGTCTTTAGGCCTTGGAGTCAACAATCCTCATTAGCTTTTAAAATATCACATTAGATACCTATTGTGATGGGTTGAATTGTGTCACCCCAAAAGATATTTAAATTCTGCCACCAATACCTGTGAATATGACCTTATATTTGGAATTAAGGTCTGTGCAGATGCAATCAAGTTAAGATGAGGTTTCTGGGATGGGCCGGAATCCAATATTATGACCGGTGACCTCAAAAGAATGGGAGAAACAGAACCACACAGGTCATGGCAGAGGCAGAGCCTGGAGTGATGAGGCTGCAAGCCCAGGAACATCAGGGATTGCTGGCCACCACCAGAAGCTTGTGAGAGGCAAGAACAGACTGTACCCAGAGCTTTAGAGGGAGCCTGGGCCTGCTGTCACCTGGCTTTTGGATTTCCAGCCTACATAGCTGTGAGAGAATAAATTTCTGCTGTTTTAAGCTATCTAGTTTGGTATTTTGACATGGCAGCTCTAGGAAACAAATATATTAACCTTAAATTTTAGAATTATGTTCATTATCAATACCTTGGAGATGCCCTCTGTACTAAATAGCATAAGATAATAAAAGTCAGTTGTTAAATATAAGAATGTAAATTATTTCACCTTTCCCCCTCAGTACTGTTTGGTTCTGTCATTGCCATTTCAGTCCAATGAGAGCAGCAGGCATTTGAAAAATAGACAAGTTCCTACTCTTAGCTTATTTCACTTTAAACACCAAGTTATTGATTAGAAAAAAAAAAATCACAAGTTAATTTCCTATGCTTTCCATTGTAAACAAAAGTAAATATTATTTGCCCACTATTAAACTTGTACAACAGAATGATTTATTTATAGTTAATTGCCTAGTTTCAAAGGTTATTGGTCAATTATTCAGATTTTTTTTTTTTTTTTTAGTTTTAGGATCCACCTAAGTTAGGTGGGTTTCTAAGTTAAACCAAGGCTTATCTTAGAAACCAAAAGAGTTTCCTGGTTATGATAAGAATGACTTTCAGGCACAGAGTGGATGACTTGGACATGATCACTATGGCAGATGACAAGCTCTGAAGCAAAAATGATTGGGAAAAAATAGCGTGACTGGGGCTTATCTAATGCTTGCTGGCAATGTATGCAACGAGCATGGCATTATTTGCCACCAGAGTTTATAATATACAAGATACTTGAAATTGGAAACTTGCATTTTGGATTGCTAATCTAAGTTTTTTTTGTTTTTTTTTTGAGACAGTCTTGCTCTGTTGCCAGGCTGGAGTGCGGTGGCACAATCTCAGCTCACTGCAACCTCCGACTCCCTGGTTCAAGTGATCCTCCTGCCTAGCCTCCCTAGTAGCTGGGATTACAGGCACATGCCACCACACCCAGCTAATTTTTGTATTTTTAGTGAAGATGGGGTTTCATGATGTTGGCCAGAATGTTCTCCATCTCCTGACCTTGTGATCCACCCATGTCAGCCTCCCAAAGTGCTGGGATTACAGACATGAGCCACTGTGCCTGGCTGGGAAGTTATTTTTTAAGCAGTTCATTTTTATTGTATGTAAACTATATGGACTACTTGTTTTTATTGTCTCTAGTCAGCTCATATTATTTATGGATTAATTTCCATTTCAGTTGGGGTCATGGTTTATATATTTAACTCTTTCATCTGACCTATTAGTTATCAATATTCTCAGTTAATAGTCTCATTCTACCAACATTTTCAATAAAAAGTTTAATATCTGGGAAGATTTGATACATATACACACACACACACACACACACACACTTTTTTTTTTTTTTTTTTTTTTTGAGGCAGGTTATCACTCTGTCACCCAGGCTGCAGTGCAGTGGTGTGATCACAACTCACTACAGCCTCCACCTCCTGGGCTAGTGATCCTCCTGCCTCAGCCTTTCATGTAGATGGGACTACAGGCATGCACCACTATGGCTGGTTTATTTTGTATTTTTTGTGGAGACGGGATTTTGCCATGTTGTCCAGGCTGTTATCCAACTCCTGGCTTCAAGCAATCCACCCACCTTGGCTTCCCAAAGTGCTGAGATTACAGGCATGAGCCATCATGCCTGGCTGATAACATACCTATATTAAACATTAGTATGTTCATATTAAAATAATGAACCTTTTAAATTTTATAAACTTGGGTAACATTTATATTAATGGATGAAGCGAACTTTCTTGGATGAAGAGAATAACGCTGTGAAACAACCAGTAGGTGGCGAAAACTGGCAATAAAAAGCTTTTTGTTTGGTGGCCTAGGGAATGAAGACAGAAAGAAAACACAGGCCTTTCAGACTCTTGATACAATCTCCATTCCCCGCATCTTTTTTTTTTCCTCTTCCTGGTGTCACGCTACTTGTAGGATCCAACCAGACTAAGCTGCCAAAAGGGTCATCCATTGGCTCTTATAAGTGGAAAACATCTTGGAAAGTGAAAAGTCCACTGTGCATGTTTGGAAGGTCGTTGGAAGGTCTCAGGCACAGATCTAGGATTCAAATCCAGTTAGTCCTCCCTCAGGCTGGTGTTCGCTCCCCTGCCTCAGCATTGCCCAAAAACAATTGTCAATGTCACATACTTCCTGAAAATACTTGCCCTTATGCTTTAAAATGGAATCTAATAAACATGGAATCCGAACACAGGAATGGGTTCACTCTTTCAATTGAAAGAGTACCTAGAACATTCCAAGGAATATATAACCCTAGTCGAAGACGGCAATACAGACCTGTCTCAAGGCTGATTATAGCCAAGATGCCACATGAGGAATTAGTCTGGGAAAATCCATAGAGTGAGGCTCTATGGGAGCAAAGGCAGGCAAAACTCAGGAAGCTTTTCTTTATCTGGGAATAGGGGATCCATTTCCTTCTGCGGCTCCCTTTGCAGAAGTAGTTTTTTTGCAGGTTTGTCCTATCATTTCCTCACTCATATGCTGAGTATTAGTAACTTGAAACCTTTCAATTCCTCTTAGATAATTTGGGGGCTTTGCGCTTTCAAGATTTCTCAACCATAATGTGGAATTGGCATGAATTTATGTGAGAACATACATTCCAGGTCAATTTATACCCCGTGTCTATCCAGACCAGAACACCTCCCATGTGCATAAAAGGGACTCTGTCCCAATCA